CCCAGCAGTACAACACTAAGGCTACATCAAGTCAGTCTTTAGTCAGTCAGGATCTGTAGTAATCCGGAAAGATGAGCCAGCACTCTACTACCCATGTGTCCACTTACCATTGAAGCCAGCGGTCTCCTCCAGACCACCGTTGTAGAAGTTGTCCACCCTGATTTTGTTGATGTCAAACACGTTGATGAAGAAGGGACTCCCCTGAATCTGCTGGCCGGCAAACAGCACATCAACAGAATGTTTGCCTGGAAATTACACATAATGATACTTCTTTAGGAAAATAGTACAAACATATCTAGTCACTCTTCACTTAGTAAAGGTAAAAGTCTTGCCCCTATATATTATTTGGTTTCAGTCTCTGGTTCCGAAACGTTGAATACTGTTGTACAAAGTGGTATGCCCAACAGACTACAATTTAATATTGTAAAATAAACTCAGAGGTTCAGGCTTGTTAATGAGGAAGTGTTATGAGGATTGGCTATGAAGGTGCACCCGACTCATGCAGACTAAAGAAAATTAGACACGGTATTGTCATACTTCTATAATGGACTAAATCACATTCCGTATTTCAAGTTTTGTATATCAGAGGGGAGATAACTGGACAATAAAGGCATGTGTGAAAAGCACATGGTCAGAGAAAGGACATTAGATCCCTGAGTGGGATTGAGGAATTGTGAGGTGATCAGAATAAATCCTAACGTACATCTACAGAACGTGAAACACCCTTGTTTTGCTACGACATCCAGGGAAGGGAGGTAATCTGTCATATCCCCACCAATTTATAGTTTGCTTCATTTATTTAGTCAGTATAACAGAAAGAAAAATGAAATAAACTTACAATGAATTTATGTATGCTTGCTCAGGGTCTAATATTTGACTAATTTTAGCAGCAAAAGTCAGCAAAACCACCCAGAAAATGTTAATAAAGTTTTACTGAGTAAGTTAGTGAGTAAGTGAGTGTGTTTTTACGCCGCTTTAAGCAATATTCCAGCAATATCACGGCGGGGGACACCAGAAATGGGCTTCACACATTGTACCCATGTGGGAAATCGAACACGGGTCCTCGGCGTGACGAGCCAACGCTTTAACCACCAGGCTACTCCACTGCCGCCATATCTATCATGTGATCACTTGGCTACAAATGGTAGTCAATGAGAAGAAACTTGGGATTCTTACATTGAACACAACTTCAAATACGGAACTGTAACCTAAATTCGCGGATAACTTTGATTCGTGGATCGCGGAAATTATCATGCTATCTTGTAAATTAAGACTCAACTGATGTCACGAAGCGGTACTTTAGATGTACATACAATGCTACGCCTCGCTGACTAAAAATTGCCGAATCTCTGCATTACACGCAAGTACACTAAATATAATTGCCCAGCACTGAGATAAATAGCCCCAGATCACTAATGCCACCATTACCAAATTTTACTTTTACAAAATGTCAAGTAAAAAAGATACCGTTAGCTCCAACCTTCTCACTTCTGGTTGTCAACTTTCCTTGGTGTCAATACTTACTGCAGTGGGATGTCGTACATTGTGGTATAAAGTAACCGACTACGTAATCCACGAAACAAGGTGACGTCACATTTTGTGGGCACGCGAATGAGTGATGATTGAAAATGGCTTCAGTAAACAAATGTTTCATTCACGAGTGGAATATTAGGAATTTTCAATTTGCTGAATCAATGAATAAAACAAGCAGTGCGTATACAAAATGAAATCATGCATTTAAGATATGAATTTCATCGCACTTCCCTTATATCCACGAATCAAGGTTACGCTGAGTGTATATCTTAAATTTAAGAAAGTAAGAACTATCAAACAATCCATTCTTTCAACAGATAACTTTTATTTTCCTTAATTTGACGGCCAAGGATATTTGTTTGCAATACTTGAAACCTACAGCCATTTATGCCTATAGTATTGCAGGTGCTTCACTTTCACAGCAACCATGTGAACGATACTAGTTTCATTTGAGTAAGTAGGGTTTTACATCACTTTTAGCAATATTCCAGCAAGACCAAGGCAGGGGAAACCAGAAATGGGCCATACTACTCATGTGGGGAATTGAACTCGAGTCTTCGGGGTGACGAGGAAACAATGTTGAATTACAGGACCCCAGATTTACAGCTGAATTGCATAGACATGCATCTGAGTTTTTGTTATACAGGGGTAATTCCTTTTCTTCAACCTGCAACCTTACATATCATGGAGGTGACGAAAGGGTGTTCAATCAGAACTTGTCTCCATGCTTCACAGGGTCGTTTTAGACTGCTGCTTTATTATGCTACTTCTGTCTTTTATACTTTTAATACTGTGACAACAGTATCATTTCATAACAATAATAATAATAATTAATTTATAAAACCCCTAATATCCGCTCAGTGGCGCTGTGACAATATTGGGGAAGGAAACAGTTCATAACATGGTATCGCGATGTATTCTTATTCTTTCAAGTAATTTGCATATTTAATCCCTGCTTATGTCAGTTTTTGGAAAGGCTCCAGGGATTTGGACCTGGACTTTTCCATCACTTATTTCTATATTTTCAATCAAATACAAGGATAACTTGTTATATATCCCTGTATAACATAATATCTATTAATACCAAGTCATAGCTCACCTGCTGTTGTTGGGGTCCATTCCACTTTGTAGTCTCCATCAGACTGGCGCACAAGATTTGCAGGAACGAGTTCTCCACTTGGAGCTAAACACAAAGCATACATAGCAAGTTCATTTCAGTGGTTCATTTCACATGTCATTTCTGTCGGAAACACATCATGACGAGACTGATGGATTGCAAGCAGGATTGCATCGGGTGAAAACTTTACAGGCGTTCAGCATCAGGCAAAGGAGACAAATATAGCCAGACTGACAGTTAAGATTGTTATTAATTTTACACACTGATTAATAGATATTACTCAAAACTGCACCAAAAATATACCTCAGTAGAAACTTTTTAAAAAAGAGCAATTCACAAACTACAATATGAAAAGACTTGGATACTTCAAGAGAATATTGCGAAATGAAAGCAAAGAGAAGCAATTCTATGACACTACTGGTCTTCTGAATGACCACCAGGCAACAGACAACCATCTACAGCTCAATCACACTCCAGGTAATGCCAAGCCACAGACACATTTCACAGCAGGAGATGTACATTGCAATCAATTTCATTGTCAATATCATACAAACACAATCACCAATATAAAGTGTAAACAAGCCATCGGTATATATTTCAGAATAATAAATGAAGCTGGGATCTGAAAAGGAATGTTTCAAGATGAAATGTGGACATTCATGTCTGAATGTATACAAATACTATCATGCATTTCATGGAGAGACATCTCCGCCACTTCAAACTTAACAATCGGACAAGTATCTAACTTTACAAAGCACCATATCCCTTGCATGCAAATTTCGTCTATGGCAGAAATCATAATAAGCTGTAACACGAAATATTTTTTCCCATCCGTCTTCCATCATGCCATTGCCATGCCAATCATTTTATTTCCATGGCAACCTTTGATGCGAGTCTGCAATGCATCTGAGTCAACATGGTGTCCGTCCATGTGTAGGATGAAATGATTGCGGTCGCGCACGTTCAGTGCCTCAACACCACGGAAGTTGATAGTGATGAAGGTTGGCACTTGCTCCTCCACATTCACAACAACAGGACAACCTGAAAAGCAAAATATTGGAAAATACATTTAGATTAAAATTAAATTGAATACTACATTAGTGAGTGTCACAAAATGAGGGATCAGTTTGCTTCCAATGAGTGCCTTCCCTGATTGCAATATTCCAACAATATCACAACTGTCTGACCACAATCACAGCTGGACCTGGATAACCAGTGGGTGAAACCATGAGCATACTCCACTCAGTAATGAGCTAAACGACACACCCACCTAATCCACATAAACTGGTTTCAACAACCATATGGGAATGCACATTGACTTTTAGGAAGTGGTTAGATGCCAAAAATATTAAATTTGGAATTAACTTTCTTAGTTAAGTACAAATCGTAGTATTTTGGGGGACGAATCAAATCTGGGACTCGAACTCATACTTTCAGAGTCAGGCACCTAATCACCAGCACGCAGGGTCAGCAATCTAACTCACTCATCCACAAAATGAAAGTTTGACTACTGATAGTCATGATCACATACCTTACTAAAATTTAAACTTAACTTCAATAGTTTATCGAAAATAGCATATTTGTTATACTTGATGTCTTTCCAAATGGCACAGTGTATTTGTAGTCATGGAAGCCATGCCATTTCCCATCTGTCAGAGGAGTACACAATGTACTTCACTTATACAGTGTTAACACAAAGACAGACAACATTTGTAACAAGCATGAGATGCTTGAGTCAAATAGGGACTTCATTTTTCTAAGCTCACTTTTTGGAAGTATTTGCAGGGCCCATAAGTAGGTCATGGCACTTTAGTATTTCCGGTGACAAACAAAGTTTAATACCTTTTCAAATGGTCTCATGGTTGTCAGTGGACTTTAAGGAACCCAAAATCCTTGCAGGAATAACAAATTTCTGATCTAACCATCCCCAAATTAAGCAACTTTTACGACTGTCAACAGCTGTGACAGCCAAGTAAAGTCATATTTGGCAGTTGCGCAATTTGGAATATATGCTTTGAATTTGAGTGAGTGAGTTTAGTTTTACGCCACACTCAGCAATATTCTAGCTATATGGCGGCGGTCTGTAAATAATTGAGTCTGGACCAGACAATCCAGTGATCAACAGCATGAGCATCGATCTGCGCAATTCGGAACCGATGACATGTGTCAACCAAGTCAGCGAGCTCCATCTCGCATATCGCAAGTTGGTGCTCTTAAAAGGGAGCGGAAACCAGCTAAGTACCAGAAGCATCACCTCACGAGACTTAACGGCCCTGTTGAAATTGACTCTTGGTACTTTTGTCGTCACTCAGGATTAACTCTGATTTTACACTGATTTGTCCTCACCTGGAATCTGTTCATCATTAAACTTGACATTGACATCGTAGTGTCCCACTTCAGTAGGTGTGAAGGTGTATCTGTAGCGACCGTCGCCAATAGTCTCACGGTAGGTGTGGACGTTGTGTCCATGGTGGGTGACTACAGCGTCAAGGTCACCAACCCCAGCTTGTGAGGCATCAACTAGAAACAAGGAACAAATTACTGAATGACAACACACATAATGATGAACAATGTCAATGGAAATGTTATGTCAAATTGTCATATTTTCTTGTACGTGGCCCTCTGTGTAATATGTCGTGGTTTATATTTGCTCTATCAGAAGTTTAGTTATACACTGCACTCAGCATTATTCCAGCTATATGGCGGCGGTATGTAAATACTTGAGTCTAGACCAGACAATCCAGTGATCAACAGCATGAGCATCGATCTATTCAATTGGGATGCCATGCTATTCAACCAAGTCAGCGATCCTGACCACCCGATGCTGTTAGTCGCCTCTTACAACAAGCATGGGCTACTGAAGACCAATTCTAACCTGGATCTTCACAGGCCTCAACAGACACAGAAAATTGACAAACCTATGAATGCAATCTCCCTTTCCTTCTTGGCTGTCTTGTCTACGTCCGTGATGCGCACGAGACTGGGGTCGTAACGCCTGGCTGACGAAGGGACTGCCTTGGAGTCTAGTGCCAGCAAAGTACACGTCAATCATGTGCTGTCCAACTTCCAAGGGAGTGTACTCCGCCCGACACACGTGGCCCTTCTTACTGAGGCGGCATGGGATCTCTGACCCAGATGGACCTGTGATACAACACACAAGTATTTACACAGATCCTTCTCTTTTCATTATTACTTATAACCTGTATTAAAATATTGAGCAAAGAACAATTACTCCATATTGTCGCATGAAACGTGTACACAGCTTGTAGCAAAATATTAGCCATTTAACAGAGGGTGACTTTTAAAATATTACTTAACACTTCTGAAACAATATTGGAAATCAAACTCATTGTCTGTGTGTGTATTGCACACCTTACATTAGTCAATCAGGATTTTTTAAGTTGTGCATTATATACAAGGAAACACTGTGAAACAGTGAATTTCATAAATAAAGTGTTCAAGACAAGTAAATGATAAACTGTGTTCGTAATATCTTTCAAAATAGAACATATTGTATACATCTTTCAATATATTGTTCAGAATATTTTTACAAACTCAAGAAAGTTACTTTAGCTCCCTTGTTTCTCACCTATGGAATACATTTCAAAAATGGCCCATAAAACTAGATGTATTTCCAAATCACTTCCCACTGGTAATTCCAGGTATGTAAACAAACAAGTAAATGTGATTTAAGTTGTAAAGACCACAACACAATAATAATCTTTCCTGTTTCCACTCACTGGTGATATGAACTTCAAGGTCATTCTCATCCATGCCATGAAGGTCAAGGTTAAACCATGTCTCCTTGTACACGTGGGCTGTGTGTAGTCCCTCACCGCTCATGGTAACGCTGTTGCTGTCGATGATGTCAACATGATACGGGGACCCTGTAAATGAAAAATAAACCTTATCCAAACTGACCTGATACTTTAAGAACTTGACACTGCGGATAACCTACATAGTCGGGTGGAGGGGTAGCCTAATGACTAAAGCATTCGCTCATCAGGCTGAAGACCCAGGTTCGATTCCCAATGTGGTTACAATGTGAGAAGCCCATTTCTGGTGTTCCCCGGCTTGATATTGCTGGAATATTGCTTAAAGGAGCGTAAACAATACTCACTCAACTTCATAGTTACAGAAAACCAATTTGACTGATGGTTGTGTGTGTTATCTCCTTGGAGTTGTGTGTGGGATGAGTTATTCTTCATTATAGTGCTGAGAGTTATCTCCCCTACTGTGGTATGAGTTATCCCCCCTAACCATCACCTGTTTGTGTCACATGATTGTCATGTTATTTATCTCCACTCATGGTGGTATGAGCTGTTCCCATGAGTATGGTGTGACTTATCACATACTATTATGGTGTGAGTTATCTCCCTTTAATGCGCTAGTTATCTCCCTTAGTTTTCATGTGACCTATCTTTCTTGTGGTGAGAGCTGCTCCCCCTGCTGGTGATAGTTTCCCTGAAGGTAGAGATCTCACCTGGGAGAGGAAAGCGATTAAACAGGATGGTCACTATGTGGTTGGACAGGTCACGTGGAGTGAAGCTCAACTCATAGCGGTCCCGCCCAATCTCTCGGATATGACTGGCCACATTGCTCCCACGACATTTGACCTCTGCTTCAAGGTCACCAGTTCCAGCAGCTGAGGTGTCAACTACAAAAGATCATAAATACACCTTCATTAACAACATGTTTGTAACATGAGAAAATCCATTAAAGTGTTAAAGTATACTAGACAGACTGATTGTACAAATGAACACTGTACAAATTATGACTTCTTCTTTACAACAAGAATTAAAAGAAAGTGAAGACATGAAATATCAATGATCACTTATGAACCTCTTTAGTTATATTTTAAAGAAGTGAAAAAATTGTTGGTCTGGCGATCAATGGTTGAATCCAAAGTAACACTTATCAATTTAATTAAGAAACGAAAACATTTTTTAAAGAATTTGTGTTTTCCTTACGATGTTTTTAGTGTTTCACCACTAATCTACAATGGCATCTAATGTGAGTAGTATATTACAATGACTTGGAGGTGCCCAATATATTTTGAAGATAGGGATTTGCTTATTCGATGGGTGTTTGTTGTGGGAACTAAATTCTTCCAAACAAACAGTAAAAGTTAAAATTGCATTGACCGTACAATCATTGAATATAATCCTTATCAGAATGTGAATATCAGATGTCATGTATTTACTCATACATGATTCAGTTATAATTAATAACTATTAATCATTCTAAAATCTATATTCTTTTCCCTCTAATGAGACCCAAATATTACTTGCATCCATTTTCAATATTTGAATGCAATATTTTGAGTTTGTGCAACCCTGACCCGAGCTATCAACTTACTCTGAAAGTGGATGGGTCTGCCGAGGTAGCCACGCCCAGGGCTGGTCACCCTGATGAGGGAGGGGTCGTACACGTTACAGGTGAAGGGGCTGCCCTTGATCTCCACGCCACTGTACTCCACATGCACCTTGTACAGACCTGTAACACAACACAGTCTTGTTGAATGTCACCCTGTGACATGGACATCGTCACTTCAACACCTGCCATCTGAACCATCTGTGGAGTGAGTGAGTGAGTATTGTTCTACGCCACTTTTAACAATATTCTAGCAAATCCCGGCCCCGGGGGACACCAAAATGGGCTTCACACATTGTACCCATGTGGGGAATAGAACCCTTCGGCATGACGAGCCAACGCTTTAACCACGAGGCTACCCCACCACCCCTCCAGTATGTGGACCGTCAGTTGTGTCCATGATGCTACAGGAAGAACTTACCGATCTCGTGTGGCGTGTAGTCTGCCCGGAAGGCTGACCGAGCATTGCCGGACACTCGAACTGGAACTTCATGTCCACTTGGAGCTAAATGTTGCAAATTGTAACCATCACAATCAATATTTCAAGTTCTGCAGCAAGATACAAGTTTCAAATAATATTACAATCCCTCATCCACATGCAGTAACTGTTGTTTGTATTTATCAGATATATGTATCCTAAACATATAAAACACTAACACCTAACACATACAAAACATGAAAGACTCATGCTTGAACAAACAACACTGGATCTAAACTGTCAACACATGTGCATGATTTCTATTAAAGTGAGACCAATGTCAGAAGGCAATAATATTGACCTAACTGCACCCAATTACTGATGTCTGAATAGAAGAATCTTAAGTTTGTCAACAGCCATGTTTCGGAGGTGTTGTATACTCACTGAAGACCCTGACACTGAGGTCGCCGTCCCCCTCGCCCTTGGGGTCGACCTTGAGAGTGGTGAGGACATTAGCTGGCACCATCTTGATGCCCTCCCCTGACACATGGATTCGGTCGCTGTCAACCACACCGCAGCTGAAAGGGCTGCCTAGAGGGCAACATGGACATGCGTCACTTAGAGTTTAACTGATGAGGATTTCAATTTAAGAAAATTATACTGAATTGATTTATTTCATCGCCAGATTGATAAACTACTTTTCAAACATAACAAGTCCTATTTGCATTTGCTCAATTTTTATAATCAAATAAAATATACCACTAAATCAATGAACACCTGCTAAAGTGGGAAAAATGTTTCTCTGCAACAGAATTCTGTGACCCAGCTAATATAAATAGTTAAAAACAAGGAGGTTACAGGTTAAGGGTTAAATCACAATTAGCAGATGAACATCATTGCTGCACCAAGAAAGGGTTTCTGAGAGGCTTCCATCCACACATTGGACCTATGTTGAGATTCACACACAGACAACAGACTAATGAGCAAACATTTCAGGCAACCCAAACACCCACAAAGATGTTTGAGAGACAACCATTAGGGACATTTACTCAATGTTGAAAAGAAATATATTTGATATTGTAGCCTGTGTTAATGGTAAACCAACAATCAAATATTGTTCCAAAAATGACTATTCCAGTTTGTGTTACCTGGCACAGGTTCTCCATTGAAGCAAACGCTGATGTGGTGCTTGGAGGCTCGCTGTGGGGTGAAGCTGACACGGAAGTTGGTGTCAGACTCCTGGCGGACGTAGTTGGGGACGCTCTCCCCGTCTGCCGTCACCTGTATCTCCAGGTTGCCATCACCAGCCTCACTGGCATCCACTGCAACAGAGGGGGAGTCAGCACATCAGTCTCCCATACAGGGTGGGCTACACTAATGACGAAAAGCCTCATGGTGGTAAGACAGAACTCAGTGGGGTGGGAATATGTGACACATCAGTCTCCCATACAGGGTGGGCTACACTAATGACCAACTGCCTCATGGTGGTAAGACAGAACTCAGTGGGGTGGGAATATGTGACACATCAGTCTCCCATACAGGGTGGGCTACACTAATGACCAACTGCCTCATGGTGGTAAGACAGAACTCAGTGGGGTGGGAATATGTGACACATCAGTCTCCCATACAGGGTGGGCTACACTAATGACCAACTGCCTCATGGTGGTAAGACAGAACTCAGTGGGGTGGGAATATGTGACACATCAGTCTCCCATACAGGGTGGGCTACACTAATGACCAACTGCCTCATGGTGGTAAGACAGAACTCAGTGGGGTGGGAATATGTGACACATCAGTCTCCCATACAGGGTGGGCTACACTAATGACCAACTGCCTCATGGTGGTAAGACAGAACTCAGGGGTTGGGAATATGTGACACATCAGTCTCCCATACAGGGTGGGCTACACTGGTGACCAACTGCCTCATGGTGGTAAGACAGAACTCAGGGGGTGGGAATATGTGACACATCAGTCTCCCAGGGTGGACTACACTGGTGACCAACCACAGGGGCGTGTCACGCTTAGAAACAGCATTAGAAAGACATATAAGTATATAGACCCTACCCTAGTACTATATAAAAGGAAAGGGATGTAACGACGGAACCACCCCCTCCTCAATTTAAGTTAGATTTCACCACGTAAACTATTTTTAAGGCCCCGTCGAGGCCTACGGATCAAAAGCGAGATGATTTCCCTACAAAATGAGCTATAAATGGTCACAATCGGATCATCATTTCAAAAGTTATACGCCACGACTCACGAAAACAGCTACCTCCGCAATTCCAAGCCAAAATCATGGATCACCCAAGACAGCGAAAACTCACCTTATAAAATCGTTTATTAATTCCAGCCACGTTGACAGCACCTATGTAGGGCTAGATTCGATCGGCAGCGACATTCCACGGGTCTAAAAACTTATTGCAACATCTACAAATCATTTCCTCGACAGTAAGCAGGCATTTTCTCCAAAACCATCGGCAATCATACTCACTTGTCGGCCATAGATGGCCTTGACATTCAAGTGATCTGAGCAGATCCTCAGAAACGAAATTTGGCCATCCGATTGGTGGAAAATATAATATACTGTAAGATTTTGACGGTTTGCTAATGGGTGCGAAATATGAACTTTGCAATAATGCTTTATTTTGGATAGTTAATACGGAACAGTAAATTGTTAAGAATAGTTTTAGAGGTTGTAAAAATGCATTCGATATTGATTCATTTTTAGGAAATTATATTTATAAATATTTAACCTCTAAAATTATTCTTACAAATTTACTGCTCAGAATCATTTAAATGTCAAGGCCATCTATGGCCGACAAGTGAGTATGATTGCCGATGGTTTTGGAGAAAATGCCTGCTTAAAATGATTTGTAGATGTTGCAATAAGTTTTTAGACCGTGGAATGTCGCTGCGCGATCGAATCTAGCCCTACATAGGTGCTGTCAACGTGGCTGGAATTAATAAACGATTTTATAAGGTGAGTTTTCGCTGTCTTGGGTGATCCATGATTTTTGGCTTGGAATTCTTGGAGGTAGCTGTTTTGAGTCGTAGTATAACTTTTGAAATGATGATCCGATTGTGACCATTTATAGCTCATTTTGTAGGGAAATCATCTCGCTTTTGATCCGTAGGCCTCGACGGGGCCTTAAAAATAGTTTACGTGGTGAAATCTAACTTAAATTGAGGAGGGGGTGGTTCCGTTGTTAAATCCCTTTCCTTTTATATAGTACTAGGGTAGGGTCTATATACTTATATGTCTTTCTAACGCTGTTTCTAAGCGTGACACGCCCCTGTGTGACCAACTGCCTCATGGTGGTAAGACAGAACTCAGGGGGTGGGAATATGTGACACATCAGTCTCCTAGGGTGGACTACACTGGTGACACATCAGTCTCCCAGGGTGGACTACACTGGTGACACATCAGTCTCCCAGGGTGGACTACACTGGTGACACATCAGTCTCCCAGGGTGGACTACACTGGTGACACATCAGTCTCCCAGGGTGGACTACACTGGTGACACATCAGTCTCCCAGGGTGGACTACACTGGTGACACATCAGTCTCCCAGGGTGGACTACACTGGTGACACATCAGTCTCCCAGGGTGGACTACACTGGTGACACATCAGTCTCCCAGGGTGGACTACACTGGTGACACATCAGTCTCCTAGGGTGGTGACTACACTCCCAGGTGACACATCATCAGTCTCCCAGGGTGGACTGCACTGGTGACACATCAGTCTCCCAGGGTGGACTACACTGGTGACACATCAGTCTCCCAGGGTGGACTACACTGGTGACACATCACACTGGTGACACATCAGTCTCCCAGGGTGGACTACACTGGTGACACATCAGTCTCCCAGGGTGGACTACACTGGTGACACATCAGTCTCCCAGGGTGGGCTACACTGGTGACACATCAGTCTCCCAGGGTGGACTACACTGGTGACACATCAGTCTCCCCAGGGTGGACTCCCAGGGGTGGACTACACTGGTGACACATGGTGACAGTCTCCCAGGGTGGACTACACTGGTGACACATCAGTCTCCCAGGGTGGGCTACACTGGTGACACATCAGTCTCCTAGGGTGGACTGCACTGGTGACACATCAGTCTCCCAGGGTGGGCTACACTGGTGACACATCAGTCTCCCAGGGTGGACTACACTGGTGACACATCAGTCTCCCAGGGTGGACTACACTGGTGACACATCAGTCTCCCAGGGTGGACTACACTGGTGACACATCAGTCTCCCTACAGGGTGGACTACACTGGTGACACATCAGTCTCCCCAGGGTGGACTACACTGGTGACACATCAGTCTCCCAGGGTGGACTACACTGGTGACACATCAGTCTCCCAGGGTGGACTACACTGGTGACACATCAGTCTCCTAGGGTGGACTACACTGGTGACACATCAGTCTCCCAGGGTGGGCTACACTGGTGACACATCAGTCTCCCAGGGTGGACTACACTGGTGACACATCAGTCTCCCAGGGTGGACTACACTGGTGACACATCAGTCTCCCAGGGTGGACTACACTGGTGACACATCAGTCTCCCAGGGTGGACTACACTGGTGACACACATCAGTCTCCTAGGGTGGGCTACACTGGTGACACATCAGTCTCCCAGGGTGGACTACACTGGTGACACATCAGTCTCCCAGGGTGAGGCTACACTGGTGACACATCAGTCTCCCAGGGTGGGCTACACTGGTGACACATCAGTCTCCTAGGGTGGACTACACTGGTGACTGCAGTCTCCCAGGTGGAGCTACACTGGTGACACATCAGTCTCCTAGGGTGGGCTACACTGGTGACACATCAGTCTCCCCAGGGTGGACTACACTGGTGACACATCAGTCACCCAGGTGGGCTACACTGGTGACACATCAGTCTCCCAGGGTGGGCTACACTGGTACATCAGTCTCCCAGGTGGACTACACTGGTGACATCAGTCTCCCAGGGTGGGACTACACTGGTGACACATCAGTCTCCCAGGGTGGACTACACTGGTGACACATCAGTCTCCCAGGGTGGGCTACACTGGTGACACATCAGTCTCCCAGGGTGGACTACACTGGTGACACATCAGTCTCCCAGGGTGGACTACACTGGTGACACATCAGTCTCCCAGGGTGGACTACACTGGTGACACATCAGTCTCCCAGGGTGGACTACACAGGTGACACATCAGTCTCCCAGGGTGGGCTACACCGGTGACACATGAACTCCCTGCCATACAGCTTGTTTGTTTGTTTGTTGTGTAACGCTGCACTCAACAATATTCAAACTATATGGTGGCAGTCTGTAAATAATGGTGTCTAACAGCATGAGCATCGATCTACACAACAGGGATATAATAGCATGTGTCAACCAAGTCAGCAAGCCTTACCACCAAATCCCATTGCCTTCATATGAACACCTGATAAAATTGTTACAATACATGAAACAGGTCAAATCTGATGTAATGTCTAGTTTGATAGCGACAAACAACTGATTTTTCAAGGGGCTATAAAACGAATTTCTTGTCTGACATTCTAACCAGGAATAAAAACTATTTTCTAGATGACAAATACATAATGTTTCAATGTTCAACACAAAAAATGCCTCCCTTCAGTGAATGACAAGAATTCAACCAAAATAAACTTGAATTATTTACAAATGCAAATCTAATTGGTTATCTCCCATTTGACAGACACCCATTTGACAGAAACCCAATTGACAGACACTGAACTAGAAGGTTAATTAGGTAGCACCTATGGGTATAATGGAACAGTCGACTGTCTAGTGAGTAGAGCAGGGTGAGCCTGAAACAGGTTCGTTACTGACAAGTTTGATTGTGGGTAAATAGAACTTTGTTGTGATAAAATGATTTCTCTTCTCAAAATTGATTTTACTATCAATTACTATCGAATATAAAAACAGGTTTGTCACTGAGAGGTTTGATTGTGTTTATTGATAGAAAAGTCCCCTCCCAATAATAGCATATGTACAACAGAAGTTAACTGAGAAAACGTTTTGTTGGAGAGATATAGATATGTACATATTTGAAAACATTCTGATTTGCAGTAAATGAGACACCTGCATTGCCATGTAAGATACGATTAATACCAATCAGTGTTCTAATTTCAACAATACTTTCTAAAGATTGTAACACTTTATGTCTTTGAGTAGTATACAATGGACATTCAAGGAGGTAATGAAAAACATTCTCACATCCATGGCCACATTGACATGATGCGTCATATTTTAAATATTTATTCTAAATAAATCGAAACTAAGTTCATTTGTCATATATCTTAATATTGTGTTCAAAACATATAACTTCTTTATTCCAAATGAATAATATTTAGGTTCACAATATTCAATATTTGATTTATACGATACAACAGTGTCGCAATTTCTAATAGCTAAGCTAATGTTTTCAATATGATGATGCCGACTCCCGTTAGACTAGAAGGTTAAACCGAAATGTTTATGAAAATAAATAACCTGTTAATAAATAAACTGTTTTTATATTGCAGCAATAAAAATTCAAATTACTGTCTTTTCGTCCATCTTTCAAAATAAATAATATAGCTTCAGTTTGTTCCTGTGTTTTTATTTGGACTATTCCATTATAATGTGTAGGTAACAGGTAGTAGATAATCTGTTCACTGAACCGTAAATGTTGTTGTTTTAAGGTGTCTGCGAACTGGCTGTCTGCGTAATGGGAGGACACCATCTAATTCTGAATCTAATATGCAATTATAGTTAATACAAAAAAATATTTCTTTGCATGAAACAAATTTTCAATCACTGCAATTTCCATGCAACACTATGAACAGGTACAGAATGCCAAGGTTGCTAATCATTGGAGTGATATCAGCAAGGAGAACCCCAATCGATGGCATCCAATAATCATCTAGCATTTAACAGATCATAAACAAACAGGAGTACAACTCCCATTTGTCAGACGTGCCATTCGTCAGACGGCCCAATCATCAGACAGACCAGTCAAGTGTGACCAGTGTAACTGCCTGGACGTACCCACTAATTAATGAGCTGCTCCAAACTGTGAACAGAGTAGGCTACTCCCCGCTCTCAAGTTCGTTAAGTGATACAGATTAACCAGATTATGATTGTGTTTGTAAGTTGCTTTTGATCAGTGTGACGGGTTGCATGTGTTGCAGTAACGACATTTGAAGTTGTTTGTACAACTATATGGAATACAGGAAGTACGTGAGGCTCAGTAAAGATTAATCAATAAGGTTTTAACTGAATTTGTTTTGCATTATTTTATTAATTAAATGGATTGAACTTCTCCAAAACATAAGTATAATCTCACATGTACTATATAACATGAACTCTAAATATGGCTGCAATGGCTGGTATACCCAGAGTTGAATTCATTGAGTCTCAGAGAGGAACCCCACAAGTACCTTGATGGCTTCACCTACTCTAAGAATAGAACCAGAGGCCAGACCACACACTGGAGATGTATCATCAAGACATGCCGAGGGAAATGTTCCACTGTTGGGGACTTCCTGAAAGATTCCTCGGACCACTGCATACTGTTTTGCTTACTTGTACTGGATGTGATCATTATTTTTATTGTTATTATCATTATTAGTAAAAAGTCTTCCCTGATTTCTTACATTTCTGATTGCTGTTATTTGTCTTATGGGCCATTCTTATTTCATTAAGAGGTAACAGGCAGGGGATTAGCTGTGCACTCAACCAGATAGCTTGTTGTTTTAACCTGTCTGACAAATGGCACGTCTGACAAATGGGAGGATACCCAATTCCCTCTGTGCACACAGCCCTGTTTACCAGTTAATCCTATCCAGCCCTCCTATTCAGCATCACTTGACACTGCTGGTCAGATTGTCATGTTTTAATATATTGTCCCACATGTGTCAAGAGCATCAAAGACTTTCTAACATATTACAATCACTATAAGTGTGAGAAAAACAAAGGTGACTCACATGTAAAAGAATTGGGCCTTCCCAAGAAGCCTTGATTTATCTTGGAGATTTTCACATTGGCAGCATCAAAGGCCTTCACAGTGAAGGGGCTCCCTTTGATTGGCATATCGGCATACTCAATTACAGCCTTGTAGTCACCTGAAATTGACAGTTGATATTGGCCATCATATCTGATCACATTAAACTTAATAAAAGGTTGGAGGTGTAAAAATCCCTCATGCTTTCTTTCTGTCAAATAAATATTGTTGTAATTGGCACACTTAAACTGCTCGATGTGTGGCAAAAGAGCAGATTAGAATGTCTTGACTGTAAAATGTGAGTTGAAGTCACACAGGATGTGAAGAATAAAAATGATTAAAAACTACTATAAATTTAAAAACAATTATAAATGGGGTCATATGCATTGGTTTTATGCTAAAACAAAGAAATTATAAAATATTCTACCATGATATTTAAGTATGTTCGTTTTTGATTGGCTGTGACTAAAAAATTAGAAGTGAAAATTTTCAATAACCACTTCTGAGAGCTGGTTCACTGCGCGTGTAGTGTCAAAACACTACACAAGGGTAATGAGTGCATATTTAAAACATGTTTTATTCATGGTGCATATGTCATGGTAGAATGGAGATAATCCTATTGTGTTTACATTTTGGAAGTGATTATAGTTGGTTGAACGCTGCTAAATGTATACTAAACTATAATCACTATAATCACTTCCAAAATGTAAACACAATAGGATTATCTCCTAAGTAACATTCTCAATCTGTTCAGGTTTTTATTTGTTTGTATCAGAAAGACAAGAATTACCTATGCTAGTGGGCGTCCACTCGACCCTGTAGTGCTGATCTCCCTTTACGTCCCGGATCCGGGTCGGGACCTCCCGCCCATCCGGACCTGCCACACACAGGATTATGGGTATACTAAAATGTTTCAGGACAAAAGTAATTCATATCATTTCTAGTCTTGAGGAGTCCATCTAAGATCACCTAAATGTACTTGTACACTCATGCTGTATCACATCGATATACTTTTTTATAAACAAATACTTAAGTGAAGTAGGTTTTTGACTTCCAAAAGGTCAATGAAAGCACTTCAACTGTGTTCAACAGTCCAAATAAATTCATCTTTTCATTTCTTACAAATCAGACAAGAGAACCTGGAACTCAAAACTGTAAGAAAGAGTTTTACTTATTTCACAAAAATATCAAGTGTTACAACTCACAAAGACATGTTTTCACAACTAGTAGTAGCTTAATATTTGTAGGAAATAAAGACCTATAATTACAGTTCTTACTGAAAGATTCGGAATCAGTGTACACATTTGGTTGTGTCAGATTTCTAAGTGTTTAAGGGGGACCTGGTTCACTTCTATGAGCACCACAAGACTTACCCGGTTTCCCGGACACCGCTAGCATTCAATCCTCCACCACAGCAAGGCTTCAGCAAATTAAACCAGCTCCCATGTCTACATATATACAGCTGGGTTGTACTTGCACCATACATAGTTTACAAGCAAACATGCAAGTTTCAACACACTTGAGGTAACAACTGTTTTCCTTCACTATCAACTTCCCATAACATGTTAGGGAGATTGACATGCAAAGTACATCAACATATAGTAAATGATAACAACAGAGAACAAACTCTACCTGGTATTCACAGCCATTTGGAACAAGTGTAACCCCTTGATTCTTTTCATAACTTCAGTATTGATCAATAAATTAAGATTATAGAAATGTCAAGCCAAAAAATATCAATATTTTGTCTGGTGCCATAAATTTTTGACATTGAATGCACTTATTTTGCGACATGGCAGGAAACTTCAAAAGGGTGGGAAAAATTCCTAAACTACACAAAGTCAAAAGTTTTAACAATAAGCAATAATAAAGCCACAATGCGATTGTCTGGTGACCAAATGTGATCTCTTCTGACCGTACATTAATAAATCTGTGAGTGAGTGAGTGAGTTTAGTTTTACGCCGCTTTTAGCAATATTCCAGCTACTAGTATATCACGGCGGGGGACACCAGACATGGGCTTCACATATTGTACCCATGTGGGGAATCGAACCCAGGTCTTCGATGTGACGAACGAACGCTTTAACCACTACGCTACCCCACCGCCCCTTAATAAATCTGTAAGATTAAACTTTACAATAAACCTCTACCACTCTGACACGTCCGTGTGTGACCATAAAGAAAAATTATGAAGGTGTTCAAAGAACAATGCTGTGATGTCACAGCTAAGGGAGATAACCATGTAGATATTTAGGCATACCACTAGGGATAGCTATGACTTAGAAAGTTTTTAATCTATTTCATTCTGTATGTATCTGTGTCACCCACAGGAAACTGGCAACCATAATCTAGAGGAAACGTTTACGACATAATTACAGTCAATTTGTCAAGTTTTTCAAAGTATATTAATTTGGATGAACCAAAGTATTCATTCCTAGATATCATCATTTAACAGTCTTTAAGCAACAGCTTCCACTCAAATACAGAAATGATGATACATAAAAATGGCTACAAAAGCAGTTAAACTTTGTTCCAATACAACATTCCTTCCAGTGAACAAAACAGAAAAATAAATAATGAGAGAGTTGAGATACAGTAACCACAAAATAATACAGTAACCACAAAATAATACAGTGACCACAAAATAATACAGTGACCACAAAATAATACAGTGACCACAAAACAAAGCCAAATGATAAAGAGAACTAATTGTACACTAAAAGTAGCTGCATTAATTACACACAATGAAGACATTTAAAATATCAAGACTACTTATTACACCTTTCAGAAAGATTTACTTATTTGTCTCAAAAGAAAACAAACTTCACAAAGGAATAATCAAATTTATTTTACATGCATTAATTTGATATTCAACACTTGAACCCTTTAGGATATTCCTCACTTCACACAGTCTGCACCTATCATCTGCTGAGTTTCCCATTGCTTCCCTTTACATGAAATATACACCAGAACGACTGTTACCAAGTAAAGATGTTATGTACATGAAATATATGTGTTATATACACCAGTCAAGAGTTCCTATCAGTCTGTTATATGCTACATACATGAAATATATGACCTATATACACAAGGTTGGAGTACATATTACTTTGTATACATGCTATGTACATGAAATATATGTGCTATATACACCAGGCCTGAGTACCTGTCAGAATGTTATATACATGTAATATATATGCTATATACACCAGGCCGGAATACCTGTCAGTCTGATACATACATGAAATATACATGCTATATACACCAGGCCGGAGTACCTGTCAGTCTGATATTGAGGTCTGGCAGGGCTGCACCGGGGGCGTTGACAGTGAAATGTGTCTGTCGATGACAAGGGACAAGACTCAGGCCCTCCCCTGTGGCAGTGATCTGACTGGCATCCATGAAGTCCACCCAGAATGGGCTACCTGAGACAGACAATCACACAGATCAATAAAGTACAATTCAGAAAGACAGGTCTGAAGAAAGTACATTTATGTATGACAACCGTTTGTCAAACCAGAATTTAATTTAATTTAATTTAAAACATGAAAATCTAGCATACAATTGTACAGTGGTTCTTATCAACCAAAGAACATCCCAAACACAACCATTTTAAGTAAATGGTACCACTGTGAAATTGCTTTGATATTGCTAATGCAGAGTAAAACCCAGCTCACTCACTCTTACAATGAATTGAACAGGGAAAGAAACCTTTCAAAATTTCCCACTAGACACAGGACCAGTGAGGGGACAATAATTAGTGGTCCTGTCTGTACTTCACTGGTCCAAAATAACATTCATAGATTTACTTAACTATCAATGCAAACTTCACTGGCCACCAGGACCACTGCAAACTTATCATTTAGTGGTCCTGATGAATTTTTACTAGCCAGGGACCACAGGACCAGCGTCAATTTTGCACACTGTTGAATGATGTTTCTGAGGCAAATCAAAACCAAACTAAAGCTTGAAAATTGATGGCAACAAAATGACAAAATGAAAAAATATGAATAGTAAACAATGGGGTGTATGTATGCTGAAAGAAATTTGTTTGAATTTTGTCTGGTATCTACCTGGGATGTGTTCTCCGTTGTACGTAAGGACGGCTTTGTGTCGTGTGGCCTCCCTGCCAACAAACGACACTTCAAACCGTCCCCCACCAAGAGCCCGAGCTTGGTTGGGAATGTTGCGACCATTAGCAGACACGGCAATTTCCAGAGTGCCTTCGCCCGCAGCTGATGCATCAACTGAAATAGACGATAATGAACATTGTTACTTTGTCTCATAGTCCTCAGGGGCTGTTCATAATTTATGTACAAAGTAAGTGATCCCTCTGCATGCCATATACAAAATCAATGACACTCCCCAAGTAGATGTGTACAAGATTGATGACCCCTACCTCCCATTAACAATATGGGTAAAAAATACGCACGCAGGCACGCAGGCACGCACACATGCACACACACACGCACGCACATACGCACTTAAAAATCATCATCCCCCCCCACCTCCCAGCCATAAAATATGAACTTGAAAAATTTTAACTGTAAATTGTATATTTATAATACTTATCCTATCTCAGGTTTTCCTAGGGCTCCTGTACAATATAATGGAGACCCCATCAGTTTAATGTTTAATGTATTTTCACTTTCCATTCTGATCAGTCATTACTACTATCAAAGACAAATGCAAATTAAATTGCTAGTTATTGAAATGAAAGGCAAATAAAATGTTCCTACCAATAAACTTTGTGGGTGTGCCCACCACCCCTTGCGGTATCTTTGAGACCTTGACCAGACTGGGGTCGTAGGTCTTAACGCGGAATGGGCTGCCCTTGATTTGTATTCCTGAGAGGCTTGCCGTTACTATGTATGTACCTGGAGTAACAAGTGACAAAATAAACATGAGAGGGGTAAAATGGCGAACATTTACAAAATCAAAGTTACATTAAATATACATAAAATAATTTTATTTTTAAAAAAAGTCCAGAACAAAATGGAAATAGTACAAAAGAAATTAAACTAAGTTTTTTTATTGTAAATAGGCATGTACATTTGTATCAATTATTAAATGATGTTCAGGAAATCAAATTCCTATACTCTTAAAACCTTAAAACAAAACAAACTGAGCAGACCAAAGCAGCAGAACAGTTTCTTATTGATACTTTTCAAAATAGATCCTTGTCCTGTAAATATTGATGTATATTTACATGAAGAAAAGGATCATAACACATTCATAAGCATCATGCATTTCTGCACAACGGCAAAGCTTCATTCATGAGCAGAAATTCTGTGGTCTATGGGAGATAACTCCGTAAGACTTAATTGTTCTGGTTTCAAACACAGAAAGTATTACCAAACTAACCTTTCTACAATGACTTTAAACCATATTATTTAACCACATGTTATCAAAATCTAAACACATGCTGCTGATACAGATTTTACTGTAGACATGCATAGTGCTGATACAACACGTACCGATCTCTCGAGGGGTGTATTCAACAGTGTAGCCATTGGTGCCATTGCCTGATATCCTTGCAGGAACTTGTTGTCCAGATGGTGCTAAAATTTTGAAAAAGTTCTTTTAATGTGGAGAAATAATCATAAATAACTGTTTGATTACAAATTTAATTTTTGTTTTACGAAAAATATCAATTTATTTTTATTCAATCAGAGTTAAACTGAAAAATAGCCAGACTAGAAAACCTGGAAAGGAAGAAAGAGAAGGAAGTACCTTGTTCCAGAGGTCAGGACAATCTTGATTATATGTCTATATGTTGTCAAATAGCCGACCGCAACCTGGGCATGCAACATGCAATGGACATGTCTACCAGCGAAACTGATAACCCCTACATAAACAAATCATAAACTAAAACTTGTACAAAAGCCGACTTAACATAATAAAACAAATGACATATCAGACACTGTCAAAGGTTTTACATAGGCAAAATAACCCTGAAATGCAGACAAAAACAACGGAAGCAAGACAACACAAAATCAAGTATGAAATGAACTAAAACATGAAATTGACAACAGACAAGTCGAAATGAACATGAAATCTACATGAGACTGAAAACAGACAGGTTGAAATAGACATAAAACCAGTGACACATCACGATGGGGTGGACAAGGTGATTATATTACTGAATTAGTCTCAGTAAGAAGTTAAAAGTGTTAATAGTTTCAAATGTCTTGTACATGTGTGTATGTGACAGTGAAATCAACACAATCTTTAAGACACTAATGACACTTAAGTAACATGTTTTTGTATATGACTGACAGGGCTACAATAAAACAAAGGAAATATACAAGTAGGAATGTCAGGTGTAACACAAGCAAGGTTATGTAACATATGTCATGTGTCATGTTTGTAATATGATTAATAAATGAGAATCAACAACAAACATAGTCAGTTTCACACAGTTTATTTCATTCCTCTGTTGAAGTAAAATATATAATATTAGCTTACAACATGATAATATGATGAGCTCTAAATGACAAAATACCTAATGTGTATAAGTAATATATATAATTTATCAAAACTATTGTGTGGTATGATATTATCAAAGAAACTGAAATGTAAAACTGGTTTCAATTTTCTAGAACATATCTTTCTGCTGGTGAAAGTAAGGCTTGACAATACCTGACCTATGACCTTATATATTTTACCCATGAGCTCCACGGCGACCGAGGCATCACTGGCGAGAGACCTGATGAGGAAGGTGGACTGTGTCTCTACCGGCTGCAAGGTTGGGATTTCCATGATGGAGGCTCTGAGGTCCACAGCGTTGCATGTCAGGGGGGACACTGTCAACATCATCAGATGCTTCTCATGAACAAACTCAAACATTCACTGGAGGGTTTACCTTCTCAATAACTATGAAGACATTCACTGGAGGGTTTACCTTCTCAATAACAACCAGACATTCACTTGAGGGTTTATCTTCTTCGTTGATGCTTTGACATTTGCTGGAAGGTTTTACCTCCATAGTTGATACTTTTGACATTCACTGGATAATCAAAAGTCCTAACAATGGTTTCAATAGAAAGGATGTCTTCATGTCCATTGTACTAGTGGAGGCTTTGTTTTATTGACAATATGAGTTACCTCCCTTTCCCCTATGTTAGCGTTTGATTGGTTGGTAATTAAATAATTTACAATAGCCAGAAGCCAGGAATGGATCCAGGTGGAAGTATAGGTTGGCTGACATAAGAGCCAAGGAGATATATATGATGCTAACGTGAAACCTTCCTCGTGTTGCCCACGTCGAGTTGGGCACAAGCACTCACTTGGCAGAGCCTCGTCATTGAAGCTGATGTCGACAGTCTGCACTCCTGGCTCCACGGGAACGAAGGAGATTCTGTACACACCCGACTGCACCATCTCCACATCGTTTGGCAGGTTCCCGTTGTTCACCATGATCTGAAGCTGGCCCTCTCCAGCTTGACTCACATCAACTGAGCAACAGGGAAGAGGAAGGAACTTACATCAAAGCTTCCGTACTGCTCAATGAGTGAGTGAGTGAGTGAGTTTAGTTATACGCCACACTAAGCAATATTTCAGCTATATGGCAGCAGTCTGTAAATAATCGAGTCTGGGCCAGACAATCCAGTGATCAACAGCATGAACATCGATCTACGAAATTGGGAACCGATGACATGTGTCAACCAAGTCAGTGAGTCTGACCACACAAACCCATTAGTCGCCTCTTAAGACAAGCATGGGTTACTGAAGGTCAATTCTAACCCGTCTCTTCACGGGTACTGCTCATTGATGAAGTGGTCAAGGCAAGGAAAATTCAATTTCATGAACATTAGATCTATCATTTCTTTTTCTCTCAGCCACCACAGAGATACATTCAGCAATGACAAATATTTCAATTCTTGAATCATTCACCAGAACTCTCTTGGTTACATTTAAACATGGCAAAGTTAATAACCAAAGAGATCAACAATGTCTCAAAATGACCTGTACAATGAAATACCTGATGAGTCAACGTCGTTGTACAGTCTACCATGTTAGTATTCCTATCAAAAGCGGTAGAAACTCACTTGAGAAGATGATTGGTTGTGACACATATCCGTCGGGCAGATCCGTCACAGTAATGGCTGATGTGTCGTATGTTTTGACAATATATGGGCTGTCGGCTATCTCCGTGCCATTGCACAAAACTCGTAGGGTGTGGTCCCCTGTAGACAACATGGGAACACAGAGGGAGTGAATATATGTTCTTAAATGCCGTATGAATCATAAAGGCGGCGTAATCTGTTACACACGGGAGATGTAACACCTCAAATAATCTGTTACATGAATTGTAACACCTCAAAGTAATGTAACATGAATTGCAACACCTCAAAGTAATCTGTTACATGAGTTGTCAACAGAATCACAGCAAGGAAATTGGAGCGAGTGAGTGAATATGGTTTTACGCCACTTTCAGCAATATTCTAGCAATATCACAACGGGGCCACGAGAAATGGGCTTCACATATTGTACCCATGTGGGTAACTCGAACCCGAGTCTTCAACATGAGGTGCGAACACTTTAACCATTAGGCCCCGCCAGGAAATAGGTGTTTGTTTGTATAAACTGTTTGCATTGGGAACAGCACACAGGATCCTTGTTTACATATAAAAATAGTCACATGATCACAGCTTATTTTCCATAAAGACTCAAATGCTGCTTTTCAATTTTCACATAATCATTTATCAACCCACAAAGAAAATTGGGTCAAAACAATTTTTCTACTATAACGACTTTTTCAAATTTTCTTGCAAAAGGATTAAAAATATGTCACAAGTCAGTTTGAACTTTCAAAGCATCTATCAAATCATTTACCATTGACGATTCTGTGGTCTAAGAGCGATTGAAAGATGCCATCTTGGCATATTCTTCATTTTCAGACTTCATATTCATCAGTTTAATAAGCACCACTAAATCTGTTTTATAAGACTGTTTTTAAGATGTACTCACCGACCACAGTTGGGAAGTACTCGGCCACCAAGACCCCGCCACTGTCCGAACTGAGGTCACATGGCACTGTGTCTCCATTAGGTGCTAGGTCACAAAGATAGCCGGTTAACATGGGCACCATCAGCAACAACATGTCAGTAACATACAGTGATGGACAAGCTTGAATGTTACAGGTGTCTACTCTACTGTGATTAACATTAGTGAAATAAACGCTACATTATAAACTAGGTAATATAGTGCTGTATCAGCATCTACGCTGTACTACGGTTAACTATGTTTATAAATGTGATGGATGTGCAGTTGATGATGGTGCTGAGTGCAGATGAGCGTGTGCTGTCAAGTTATCGGCACATGAGGTTACCATCCACCTGATGAAATGTACATTTGACTGACAGATGTCAGGTGTGTGTTTCACAAAGGAAGCCAGCGTGATACCTGTAACCACAAGCGCTTCTCACCTGCAGGGGCATGAACACACTTCATATGTTCCGACAACGCGAAGGAAATGGTCGTCTCAGATGTTATATTTGACATGACTGTCAATATTGAGGACGTAAATGTGGCGGCTTTCTGCTGCACCTCTCCATAAAACCATCAGCAGGATCATGTGAAGAGGGTATCTCCATGACAGTTTAATAAAGGGACATTCTTTGCTACATTGAAATTATCAACATGTTTAAAGGACTGAACACTCTACCAGGACGTTGCACAATCTCAACGCAACAGGCAAAACAAACTTAGTGTACATTTCTACCATGAAACTGATGACATGGTGATGAACATTCCTACTGTGAAATGAACGTGATGATGGCCGAGGACAATAACAATAAATATCTCAAAGATGTGATGATGGCCGAGGACAATAACAATATATATCTCAAAGATGTGATGATGGCCGAGGACAATAACAATATATATCTCAAAGATGTGATGATGGCTGAGGACAATAACAATAGATATCTCAAAGATGTGATGATGGCCGAGGACAATAACAATAAATATCTCAAAGATGTGATGATGGCCGAGGACAATAACAATAGATATCTCAAAGATGTGATGATGGCTGAGGACAATAACAATAGATATCTCAAAGATGTGATGATGGCTGAGGACGGATAACAATAGATATCTCAAAGATGTGATGATGGCTGAGGACGGATAACAATAGATATCTCAAAGATGTGATGATGGCTGAGGACGGATAACAACAGATATCTCAAAGATGTGATGATGGCTGAGGAGGGATAACAATAGATATCTCAAAGATGTGATGATGGCTGAGGACGGATAACAATAGATATCTCAAAGATGTGATGATGGCTGAGGACGGATAACAATAGATATCTCAAAGATGTGATGATGGTTGAAATGAACATGGGATTCATATCCTGCTGTGTGCTGTGTAATGTGGTATGTTTCTGTAATTATACAAACAAAAAGACTTGTTGTAAATGTGTAAAACTTGCACTTGAGTGTTGAGTCTGTTGTAAGCTTGGATGTGCTTACATTGTGCATGCACAAATTAATGTTCTGATCTGTCATTAGATGGGATAAATAACACAGTGTTAATGTTATTAACTGTTATTAACACTGAACCATACACAACACAACACAGAAAGCACTATAACATATACCATTTCAAACAATGCCATTATGTTTACTGTTAATAAATCTACACAAGAATACACTACTTCAAAACAACACGATTGACAAACACCTACATAACTTCCATAACAACAGGCATATATTTGAAAAATTCTTGAACTTTCATGCTATCTGGTTAGCTAACAAGTACCATGCAAAACACATGCTTAAAACAAAATGCATGTGAGAGAAACACAAACACAATCACAGAATACGATAGTTGAGTACGCCACCAATATCGTAAGAAGGGAGACAACTCTACCGCACCAGTCACCAGTCTGAGTTTCAGAACAAGGCTTTTTCCCAATCCCGGAAAAGAAAAATCAACACCATGCAGCCAGATTTCTTTATTGATTAAAATGCATGCAAGAGATTACAATGAGAAACTACATGAACAAACCATGCCTATTGAAATCGTGGAGTTTGAACCAGATAAAATCCCGTCATTCCAAGCTTATTGTCCAAACAAAGTACATGTCTGTTTTCTTGTGGATATTAATAGACATTACACATTCACACTACATTCTCAACAGATTGATAATAAAAAGAAACATTTTCCTTATATTTAAATATATTTCTTTTTTCATTATCTTAAAGTTAAAACTTCACAAATGACCAAACAAATATTTGATACAGTTATACAGAAAATATGACTTCCTTCACAATGTTCCGTGCAGTGAAACTCGACTGAATCCCGCAAAAAATATTTCCGAGTGATAGCCCCACCCTGCTTCCATCACCATGACATTTACCTGTGATATGCACGTCTATGCAACTGATATTGACGTCACTAGTATGGATGTTGAAAGAAGCCGCTGTGTTGACGGGTACCGGTCCAGCCCGTCGCCCGAGACTGTGATGCTGTGGGGGTCGATGATATTCACAGTCCAGGGGCTGTCTGGAAACGAGCAGAGTAGACAGGTTGTAAGCCAGAGTAGGAATATGCTATGTTAGGAATATGCTATGTTAGGAATATGCTATGTTAGGAATATGCTTCTCTGTGGTAACTTACCATCACAAAAACCAAGCTGAGCGAGTTTACTCTCATGAACTATGATTCATGTGAATGAGCCAATCACAGCCTTGATTACATTCTGTTTACAATATGGCATCACGGAGAATGCAAAATGATGGTGCTACAATTTTTTAGTTTGCTTTTATACAATGTTGATAGGACTGGTTGGTTTTCAGTGGGGCGGTTGTCTTATAGGTTATCAGCCCTGTGGTCTGGTACAAATGTGTGTGTGTGGGGGGGGGTTTCATACACTGCCACACTTACAGGTATTAAAGGTATTTAAGTAATTGGATTTCAACATCTCCAGCCATTAAACCACTCCAGGAACAGCCTCTGAATCCCTAATGGATATTCAACCGCCTCCGTGGTGTAGTGGTTAGAGCGTCTGCCCGGAGAGCGGAAGGTCACGGGTTCGATCCCCGACCGCGTCATACCAAAAGACGTTAAAATATGGTACTTGTTGGTCCCTGCCTGGCCCTGCTCGGCATTAATGGGTACAACAAGGACTGGTCGGCTCAGAGTCAGTATAATGTGTCTGAGTGGGGTATTCATGATTCACTGCGGCATGGTATCTCAGTGGGCTAGCACTATAAAACCAGCTTAAGTCTGGGCTAGTACAAGCAGCCTCACATACACATGCATGCATGTCGTCATATGAGCGAAACATTCTCAAGCACGACGTAAAACCCAATTTCACCTCACCTCACCTAATGGATATTCACATTCAACACATCACCCTCACCCTCAACAGCAGCGTCGTTGAAGGTCATCTCTATGACATGGGGCTTGCTACTCTCAGGGGAGAAGGAGGCCTTGAACTGGTGGTTACCCCGGTTCTCCACACTGCAGGCCACACGACCCTGGTTCACACGGATCTCAATGTTCCCTGAACCTGCTCGGGATGCATCAACTGCAACAAGCTTGATCTGTTATACACACATCTCTGTAGAGAGGAGGGAATTTTAGTTCTATGTTTCATTTAAAATTCCATTAATATCCGAGTACAGCCACAAAGCCTGGGCAACATTCGACACAGTGTAGACTGGTATCATCAAGATATTCAGATGGAGAATATTTCACCTTCATCAATTCACGACAACATATTAGTGAAGCAGGTACTGGATTAGTACCCTGACGGAACCCACAAGGATGGCTATTTTGATGGACCAAAGATTGCAGTGAGAAAATCTTGGATTCAAACCCATGTTCAGCAGATCCTGGTCTTACTAGGAAAATTAACTCTGCAGAAACTTAGATGATTGAACCACCTTTGCACTCCACTAACGTTTGTCTTGACTGGCTACATTATCTTTTGGCATTTACCAACAGGGTATTCATGTCACCATTACCAAGTTCTTGAAATATGGCAAGGAGAAGGTCTTTTTCTTTTTTACCTTATGTCATCCAGTCAGAATGAAGCATTCACTCAAATGCGGAGTGGCTACATTATCTATTGGGATCTAAAACAGGGTATTCATGTCGCCAATACAGAGTTCTTGTAATATGGAAAGGGAAGGTCTTTTTCCATTTTACACTATGTCATTCCATTAGATTGAAGCTTTCACTCAAATTTGTTTAACAATAGATATATTTGTACTCACTATCAAATGTGACCACGTTGCCTGGCAGTGCGTACTGCGGCATCTCCGACACAAGCACCTTGCCGACATCGTACACCTTACAGGTGAAAGGACTGCCCTGTAGCTCCTCACCATAGTAGCTGATACTCACCTCGTAGTCTCCTGGGAATAGGACAACCAGGACATGTTATACAGATAACGTTTCTAGAAGATCACTCATTTTCACAGACAAACAGAAATCCAACTCTCACAGACTAGGAATGACAAGTCTTTATAGATGATCAACTTCTATAGTGTATGATAGCGACATTTTCGTATAGATACTTACACCATTTACAAGCACTCTTACACCATTGAAAACGGTATAAGTGTCTATACCGAAATGTCACTATCACACAATAAAGAAGTTGATCATCCATAAAGCATGTCATTCCTTGTACTTGAAACTTCTGGAATGCCTCTCAAACAGTTCTCACAGACTGTTATATATGACAGAGTCATTGGGAGTATTCACTATATTATAAGTGGTATGCTTCTCTCGAGGTTAATACGGTCTGATGTATGCCTCTTTTTAGCAGTGTCACCTGAGCCAGAAGGCGAGGGATGACACTGCTACAAAGAGGCGTACATCAGACGGTATTACCCAAGGGAGAAGCCTACAACGTATTTATCTTACCTCCATGTTAAATGTTCAAAATATCATTTTATTTTATTTTTAAGATCTCTACTGACTATATGACATGTAAACAAAATGGCGTCTGCCTCCCGACTGGATTTTTTTAAATCAGTGGAACATATTCTGACAAGGTTATGTTTAAGTTGAGTGTGCAAACGTTTCAATGTGTAAAATAGTTTAAATAAAGCAGTGAAAGTTTGTAAAATAAATCTGTACATGTATAGTAAACTCAAAAACAGCTAATCGAACGGTTTTCGAACTCTGGACACTGCATGCATCATATTATGACGTCATACCATTGCTAGCAATACACCTTCTCGGTGGAGAGTTTGGCAGGTAGCGTGGCAGTGGGTAATATTTTGTCCAGTTGTCGCCTTCCTGGGAGGGGTGACACGGAAACTTGTTAACGCATCATTGACCAATGAAATTAATGTATTCACCAATCAGACACCTACCAGCATTCGATCCATTCACCAGCAACTACCAGCAATCCATCGATCACATAGATCCATTCACCAATCAGACAACTACCAGCAATCAGACATCGATCCATTCACCAATCAGACATCAATCATTCAGACATCAACCATTCATCAGACATTGATCCATTCCAATCAGACATCAATCATTTCACCAATCAGCTACCAGCAATCAGACATCGATCCATTCACCAATCAGACATCCATTCAATATCCCATTCACCAATCATCAACCATTCATCCATTCATCCATTCACCAATCAGACTTTGATCCATTCACCAATCAGACAGCTACCAGCAATCAGACATCGATCCATTCACCAATCAGACATCGATCCATTCACCAATCAGACATTGATCCATTCACCAATCAGGCAGCTACCAGCAATCAGACATCGATCCATTCACCAATCAGACAGCTTACAGCAATCAGACATGAGACAGCTAATCAGACATCGATCCATTCAGCAATCAGACAGCTACCAGCAATCAGACATCAGACAGCTAGTCAGACAGATACTTTTGATTATGAGTAAGTAGCATTTTACGCAGCTTTTCCAACTATTCAGGAATACAACATGGAGACACAGTGAATGGTTCACAAGATGGGCAGCTGAGATATGCAGACATCATGCCCATCATGTTTAAGTGTATGTGTAGTGTGTAACACAACCAGTATTCCTTCATACCACAAGTACCAGCTCACAGTAAGTCGTCAGTGTGATGGCCAAAGCCTCCAACCAGGAGGCTACTCTACCACCCTACATTATGCACAAGGGCTGGGGTCACTAGCCTAGTGGTTGACGTGGTCAACCATCATGCGGAGACATGGGTTCAATTAACCATATGGGTACAATGTCTTAACCTGGTGTCCACTCCCACGACATTGCTGGAATGCTGCTAAAAATGCTCTAAAACAATATTATGTAAGTGATTGGTTGGTTGGTTTGTTGTTTAACACTGCACTCAGCAATATTCCAGCTATATGGCGGCGGTCTGTAAATAATCAAGTCTGGACCAGACAATCCAGTGATTAACATCATGAGCATCGATCTATGCAATTGGGAACCGATGACATGTGTCAACCAAGTCAGCGAGCCTGACCACCCGATCCCGTTAGTCACCTCTTACGACAAGCATGGGTTACTGAAGATCAATTCTAACCCGTCTCTTCACGGGTCTACACAAGTAGTACCCCGAATGAGATGAGAAAGTCCCCACCTGTTTCTGTCGGTGTGTACTCCACCACGCACTCATCATCAGCTCGCTGTACAAGTTTCGATGCTACTTTCTTTCCCGATGGAGCTGAAAGAAATGTTAGTCCTAAAATAAAATCTTAAAATATCAACACACCATTCCCAACTACACAAAGCCCTGATCATTTATACAATTATCAAGATCACCATTTCTTAACACAAACTGCACCAAAGAAGTTTCCCCAAATCGACAGCACAGTGTGAACAACCCATGTGAGACCTTAACTCATGCAGTCTGAGTGACCTGGTGACAGTGAAATGTACATGAAATAGCTCCCAGTTGTCTGTCTCATGCAGCATGCAACTGTGGGACATGGACATGCCTGGAGTTGAAACATACATCCTAGCCTACTCACTATATCATACACGATTACATCACATGGGCAGGCACACACAGGATCTGAGGGAGCTTAAATACAGTGGGATAAATTATTAAACGGGGAAAATTGAGAAAATATTAATAACGGGGAAGGGGGTGTAATTGTAAAAGCAGTATCCTGAGTAACTCCACATTTTATACAATTATTCTGAAAACAAGTATCACATTTATCGAAAATATACCTGATATGAATAATTATTTCACTATTAACACATGTTTAACACACAAACCCCCAAATCCAGTTAAACAAACATCTAGTCTACATTTATTGTATATATCCCCAAACCCTGTCAAAACTTACCTTAACTATGTAATGAGAACATCAAAGGGTTACCATGGTTACAGTTAAGGTTGATGTGAGGTAGGAAAGGGTCCACATGCCAGCCAGGTAAATAGACTCGACAAGCGCAAACCATCAGATGTCAATCAAGTTCGACACGGACATTAGGAAAAGACTAGGTGCTAAGTGGTTACGGCGCGATTACTGGCAATATTAGCCAATTGGAAGCTGAGATACATGTCACACTCTTAAATGGAAAGGTTATCGGATAATAATAAAAAAACATTACTAAAGCTTAGGTAAGCAATAGTTTCAAGAAGAAAACCAATTCCACCCTGGTTGAAATGGAATATATTTAAAATTTCTCACAGTGTTGAAACATGTTGTTTCTGAAGAAATGTCAAACATTTTTTAACATATTAGATCAAACATTAACTGGAATGAAAACATATGGATGACTAAAGAGGACACACACAACCGTTTGCAATGTACAACAGCTCTCCTTGTAATTTACACAGTTTACACATAGATCTCCTTGACAGCTCTCATAGGTCATTCATCTCACATTCATGATAAAATACAACTTCTATCTTCTTTCAGTAGTTTCTGTTGTCTTCATCTGTGCATCCCCACTTGATTGGCAGGTGTCGAAATCTACAAGCTTCATCTTTGCTGTAGATTCAGAGGAAGACTAGACATCCACAGCTTGTACTTCCACGGTGTGTACATAATACATGTCCTTTCACACGTCAAGACAATGCACTACGTTACAAATCTGTAGATACATACTGTCGTCATGTAGTAAGCGTCACTATCAATTATGGATGACAGTGAAGGAAACATGGCCACTTCATGCTAATACATCATGTCATATTGAACAACTAAATACGTAAAAGTATACATGCATTATACTCACACAAAGTTGTCACAACTTACAAATAATAGTGGTATACATATTCATAAACTTACCAGTGTAGTGAAACAAAACACGGATAGTGTTGTATGTATATTTACATATATATCATGTCCATTTGCTATGTACAAGCAATATCACCCCAAACAACACACCAGGAAGCTAAACCAGCTGCAATACCTACCCATGTCTATATCATACTGATTTCTACCCGACACACTTTGTGTATGATATCCTCTCCTAAGCATCTGCAATGTACACATGTCTATAGCCGTCAATCAGCACACACATGAAGCGCTAGGACTAACCACATGCAGTGGAATGCACCTGTCAATCATGCTACATTTCATGGTATACAGGAACCAGCTGCCAGTCATACCAAGCCACCGGAGCATCAACCACGCACAACCACATCGACATGTCACTTACATCAACTGCATCCAGGGGAGACGGACATGCATTGCACATGCACCGTAGATAGGACTGCGTAAGTTTCTAGGGGTTGCAGGTGAGAGGTTAGAGATTGCAGGGAGCATGCAGGTCGTTAGTGCAGGTAAGTTAGGTGACGTGCAACATGCAATATATACACAGGATGATCAACATTCATGTCAGCTTCGGTCACGTGTCAATACCCAAACAGCTGAATCACTGCATACCGTAATTATGTTCCCGACACAAACATCACATGACATTGGTGTTCTTGTCAGTATCAGTTGAACATAAATTCTTTGTAGTTACCACAAGGAAGTGTTACAGCAAGGAAGTGTTACCACAAGCGTAGTCAATGGTTAGGTTTCTGTTGTATTTCATCTAAGGACTCCTAAAGTGAAATTAGCTCTCCGATGTGAACTCCTTGTCGATCATGCTTAAATTTGAACTGTGCAAAGAGTTTTCTTAATTTCTGAATGCATATTGACAGATGACCAGAAGCTATGTCGAAAATTCAAATTCAAAACATATCAAAAGAAAGGTCGAATATAAACTAAAGACAAACATCAAGATGAGACTTTTTGATATTACTTACCCTGTTCTACAAATCAAAAACTGTTACATTTTGAAAAAAATCATTTTAATGTCTTTAATCCATTTATCCTCGTTTTACTCAAACTTGCTGTGCTCCTTCACGTAGGTACTCACAAGTGATGTCAACGCTGACGTTGCCGCCCCCAGCGCCTCGGGTGTGGACGTTGAAGCTGGCCGTCTTGTTGACTGGGACAAGGCTGAGGCCATCGCCGGACACACTGACCATGCTAGAGTCCACAATCTCCAGAGTGTAGGGGGACCCTAAACATCAAGATCAAGGATATATAGCAACACTTAAACATCTAGGAGTCCACAATCTCCAGAGTGTAGGGGGACCCTAAACATCAAGATCAAGGATATATAGCAACACTTAAACATCTAGGAGTCCACAATCTCCAGAGTGTAGGGGGACCCTAAACATCAAGATCAAGGATATATACCAACACTTAAACATCTAGGAACATCTAGGTGTAGGGGGACCCTAAACATCAAGATCAAGGATATATACCAACACTTAAACTCTAGGAGTCCACAATCTCCAGAGTGTAGGGGACCCTAAACATCAAGATCAAGGATATATACCAACACTTAAACATCTAGGAGTCCACAATCTCCAGAGTGTAGGGGACCCTAAACATCAAGATCAAGGATATATACCAACACTTAAACATCTAGGAGTCCACAATCTCCAGAGTGTAGGGGACCCTAAACATCAAGATCAAGGATATATACCAACACTTAAACATCTAGGAGTCCACAATCTCCAGAGTGTAGGGGACCCTAAACATCAAGATCAAGGATATATACCAACACTTAAACATCTAGGAGTCCACAATCTCCAGAGTGTAGGGGACCCTAAACATCAAGATCAAGGATATATACCAACACTTAAACATCTAGGAGTCACACAATCTCCAGAGTGTAGGGGACCCTAAACATCAAGATCAAGGATATATACCAACACTTAAACATCTAGGAGTCCACAATCTCCAGAGTGTAGGGGACCCTAAACATCAAGATCAAGGATATATACCAACACTTAAACATCTAGGAGTCCACAATCTCCAGAGTGTAGGGGATCCTAAACATCAAGATCAAGGATATATAGCCAACACTTAAACATCTAGGGAGTCCACAATCTCCAGAGTGTAGGGGGACCCTAAACATCAAGATCAAGGATATATACCAACACTTAAACATCTAGGAGTCCACAATCTCCAGAGTGTAGGGGGATCCTAAACATCAAGATCAAGGATATATACCAACACTTAAACATCTAGGAGTCCACAATCTCCAGAGTGTAGGGGGACCCTAAACATCAAGATCAAGGATATATACCAACACTTAAACATCTAGGAGTCCACAATCTCCAGAGTGTAGGGGGACCCTAAACATCAAGATCAAGGATATATACCAACACTTAAACATCTAGGAGTCCACAATCTCCAGAGTGTAGGGGGACCCTAAACATCAAGATCAAGGATATATACTTAAACATCTAGGAGTCCACAATCTCCAGAGTGTAGGGGGACCCTAAACATCAAGATCAAGGATATATACCAACACTTAAACATCTAGGAGTCCACAATCTCCAGAGTGTAGGGGGACCCTAAACATCAAGATCAAGGATATATACCAACACTTAAACATCTAGGAGTCCACAATCTCCAGAGTGTAGGGGGATCCTAAACATCAAGATCAAGGATATATACCAACACTTAAACATCTAGGAGTCCACAATCTCCAGAGTGTAGGGGACCCTAAACATCAAGATCAAGGATATATACCAACACTTAAACATCTAGGAGTCCACAATCTCCAGAGTGTAGGGGACCCTAAACATCAAGATCAAGGATATATACCAACACTTAAACATCTAGGAGTCCACAATCTCCAGAGTGTAGGGGACCCTAAACATCAAGATCAAGGATATATACCATATATCTAGGAGTCCACAATCTCCAACATCAAGATCAAGGATATATACTTAAACATCTAGGAGTCCACAATCTCCAGAGTGTAGGGGGACCCTCCACAAGGATCTCATCTAGGAGTGTCTCCAGGGGGGGACCCTAAACATCAAGATCAAGGATATATACCAACACTTAAACATCTAGGAGTCCACAATCTCCAGAGTGTAGGGGGACCCTAAACATCAAGATCAAGGATATATACCAACACTTAAACATCTGGGAGTCCACAATCTCCAGAGTGTAGGGGGACCCTATACATCAAGATCAAGGATATATACCAACACTTAAACATCCAGGAGAACCCTGTAACATCAAGGTTACATGGGGAACCTGAAACATTAGAGACACAGTAACCCTGTAACATGACCTTATAACACTGGCATGAGGAATTCCAATTACATTCCCTAGGCTTCTATGAGCAGCATTGTCCTATTAAACCAGCACATAATTCACTCAGGTGTAGTTTCTACCCAGATGTAACACTACCTCGGATCTCCACGTTGTTGTAGTACATCTGCACCCGGTAGACTCCAGCACCCTGGGGGGTGAAGTCGATGTTGTGCTTCCCGTTCTGTCGGGTGATCACCTGACTGGGGATGGTCACTCCGTTGTGGGCGACAACGACGGACACCTCCCCCTCGCCTGCACTCTGGCTGTCAGCTGTGAAACATACATCATGTTGTACAGATAAACACACTAGGTTATAACATGTGTCATGTTGTACAGTTGATAAACACACTAGGTTATAACTTATATCATGTTGTAGAGTCAATAAATATACCAGGTTATAACATATGTCATGTTGTACAGTCAATAAACCCACCTGCATGGTGACTAATATTTTAAAACATATATGATGTTGTACAGATCAGTTGATAAACACACAGTATTAAAACATACATCTTGTTGTACAGTTAATAAATATGTGATATAATAACATACATCTTGTTGTACTGTTAATAAATACACTATATTATAACATACATCTTTTTGTACAGTTAATAAATATGCTACATTATACCATACATCTTGTTGTACAGTTAATAAATATGTTATATTATAACATACATCTTATTATAACATATGCTACATTATATCATACATCTTGTTGTACAGTCAATAAATATGCTATATTATAACACTTTTATGTAAGTTAATAAATATGCTATATTATAACATACATCTTGTTGTACAGTCAATAAATATGTTATATTAAAACACTTTTATGTAAGTTAATAAATATGCTATATTATAACATATGCTACATTATACCATACATCTTGTTGTACAGTCAATAAATATGCTATATTATAACACTTTTATGTAAGTTAATAAATATGCTATATTATAACATACATCTTGTTGTACAGTCAATAAACATGCTATATTATAACACTTTTATGTAAGTTAATAAATATGCTATTTTATAACATACATCTTGTAACCATGTGCAGTATGACATGTCATCAGTGTAATATAACAAGATACAACTACAACACGACCCACCTGTGAAGCTGAGTGCTCCGGCCCACCGAACCTCCCTCCAGACCATGTGCAGTATGACATGTCATCAGTGTAATATAACAAGATACAACTACAACACGACCCACCTGTGAAGCTGAGTGCTCGGCCCACCGAACCTCCCTCCAGACCATGTGCAGTATGACATGTCATCAGTGTAATATAACAAGATACAACTACAACACGACCCACCTGTGAAGCTGAGTGCTCGGCCCACCGAACCTCCCTCCAGACCATGTGCAGTATGACATGTCATCAGTGTAATATAACAAGATACAACTACAACATGACCCACCTGTGAAGCTGAGTGCTTGGCCCACCTGTGAACCTCCCTCCAGACCTTGTGCAGTATGACATGTCATCAGTGTAATATAACAAGATACAACTACAACACGACCCACCTGTGAAGCTGAGTGCTCGGCCCACCGAACCTCCCTCCAGACCTTGTGCAGTATGACATGTCATCAGTGTAATATAACAAGATACAACCCACCTGTGAAGCTGAGTGCTTTCGGCCCACCGAACCTCCATCCAGACCATGTGCGGTATGACATGTCATCAGTGTAATATAACAAGATACAACTACAACCACGACCCACCTGTGAAGCTGAGTGCTTTCGCCCACCCGAACCTCCCTCCAGACCATGTGCGGTATGACATGGCATCAGTGTAATATTACAAGATACAACTACAACCACGTGCCACCTGTGAAGCTGAGTGCTGTCACCATGTGCAGTTAATATAACAAATATAACAAGATACAACTACAACCGACCCACCTGTGAAGCTGAGTGCTTGGCCCACCGAACCTCCCTCCAGACCATGTGCAGTATGACATGTCATCAGTGTAATATAACAAGATACAACTACAACACAACCCACCTGTGAAGCTGAGTGCTCGGCCCACCGAACCTCCCTCCAGACCTTGTGCAGTATGACATTTCATCAGTGTAATATAACAAGATACAACTACAACACGACCCACCTGTGAAGCTGAGTGCTCGGCCCACCGAACCTCCCTCCAGGCCATACACATTCACCTTGGACGGGTCAAAAGCCTTGGCCACAAATGGACTTCCAACTATTTGTTCATTGTCGTAGTGGACAAATATACGATGGTCACCTGTAGATTGTAACGACACATAACAGTAAGGACAGTTTGTTTGTTTGTTTGTTTGTTTGTTTGTTTACAGAAACACTCAGCAGTATTCCAGCTACAAGACAGCAGTCTATAAATATCCGAGTCTGGACTAGACAATCCAGTGACGGATGTCATGAACATCAATCTTCACGATTGGCATATGATGACATTGCGTCTCAGACCAACCAATCCACTAAATCATTTTTTATGGAAGGCTTAGATCATTTCTTGTCTCTGACAGTGATAAGTATTTATACGCAGCACTTGCTACACTTGCCACACTTGCTACACTTGTTACACTTGCCACTCTTGCTACACTTGTTACACTTGCCACTCTTGCTACACTTGCCACACTTGTTACACTTGCCACTCTTGCTACACTTGCCACTCTTGCTACACTTGCCACTCTTGCTACACTTGTTACACTTGCCACTCTTGCTTGCTACACTTGCTTGCTACACTTGCCACTCTTGCTACACTTGCTACACTTGCCACTCTTGCTACACTTGCTACACTTGCTACACTTGCCACACTTGCTACACTTGCCACTCTTGCTACACTTGTTACACTTGCCACTCTTGCTACACTTGCTACACTTGTTACACTTGCCACTCTTGCTACACTTGCCACTCTTGCTACACTTGCCACTCTTGCTACACTTGTTACACTTGCCACTCTTGCTACACTTGCCACACTTGCTACACTTGCTACACTTGCTACACTTGCTACACTTGCCACTCTTGCTACTTTTGCTACTTTTGCCGCTCTTGCCACACTTGCTACACTTGCTACACTTGTCACTCTTGTTACACTTGCCACACTTGCCACTCTTGTTACACTTGCCACTCTTGCTACACTTGCCACACTTGCTACACTTGTTACACTTGCCACTCTTGCTACACTTGCTACACTTGCCACTCTTGCTACTTTTGCTACTTTTGCCGCTCTTGCCACACTTGCTACATTTGCCACACTTGCCACAGGTTCAGTTATGAAATGCAATGTAACAGTAAAAGCACATACCGACTTCTGCGGGGGTGAAGTTGGCGGTGTACATGCTCTGCCTGTAGACCACAGGGAGGTTCATGGTATGGCCATTAGGCGTCTCCACCTCCATACGGATGTCTCCCTGGCCAGCTGACGACGTGTCCACCTGGAAACAGAACACCAGGACGAGGATGAGGAGGAGGATGTCAGGGCTGGACATACACAGACTGGATGCAGATAACATACACAGCATGATAGTTCACTTGTAGCAGACATATTGTGCTGAACAACAATCAAATCAAAGTTCAAATGATTCATTTGTGATTTTCTCCACTATAGCAGTTTTCTTGTAAACAAAGAAATCTGCTTTCCCACTTATCACCTGGATTCAATGAGAAACAAACCAAGATGATGATGATGATGATGATGAAGAAGATGATTGATTGATTGATTGAGTATGCTTTTACGCCGTTGTTTAGCAATATCCCAGCAATATCACAGAGGGGGACACCAGAAATGGGCTTCACAAATTGTACCCATGAGGGGAATCGAATCCGGGCCTTCAGCGTGACGAGCGAACGCTTTAACCACTAGGCTACCCCACCGCTTGCCCATGATGATGATGATGATGATTATTGATGACGATGGCGACGCGACGATGATACAATTTTACCTGCATGATAATTATTTCTTGACAACAAACATGGTGAATTTAGTCTTTTCTGAACACCTAAGTTGATAAATTGATCAAGTGTGGTGTGGAGTAGAATATTGTCAGACAGCGTGACATAGATTTTGCATCGACGTGGAAGAGATATACTGGTCTACTTTGCTGCTGCATGTCAATAAAATGAACACCTACCTTCAATTCTGTGATGACACCTACAGGACACCTGTCTACTGGGTGGAAGGTGACCTTTGACCTGTCTGAAGATACCTTGAATGGTATTGGGCAAGAGGCGAGGGGCTCGTTCACACAATACACATTTAGCTGTTGAAATAGACAGGACAAGAGGTTAGAAAGGGAGACAACTCATATACACAAAAACAGCCAACAATCCAATTGCAAAACATCAGCACTTTCTTTTCAACAGAAAGCTTAAAGCTTCCCAACAATAAATAGATAAAATTTGCATGAAACCTACAATGGATACTCTAAAGTTGACTAACTTTCGTCCAGAGATGGAATCTAAACATAGCCACAATCTGTATCTGGTAAAGCCCACCCAATACTGCACCATCACTCTTAGTCTGTCTCACAGTCTCCGAACTGCATTATTTTCCCTTCTGTCTTGTCCTTTCTGCAATGCTAAAGCCTTAAATGAGCAAGTCTAGATCTCCTCAGGTTCTGAATCTCCCTCCTCACTGGGGCAGCCAATTGGACACTGGGGCTCCTTTTCAATGTAAAATGATTTTTGGCTTCTGTCAAAATTATACATATTCAGACAGTGAGCATTAGTCTAGCCTCACCCTATGTTGCCCCATCTCGGAGGGGGTGAATGATCCTGTGGCAGTGCGTCCAGACCAGTTCAACCTTACAGGGGGGATGGAATCGGGTCCGATGACCTCAGCGCGGAAGTCACCAGCCGAAACATCATCATCAATGTTCAGGCGGAAGGTTTTCTGTCAAACATATATGAGTTTTCAGACAAACAAACACAAACATCAACAGCGAGTAGTTTATAGCCCTCTGTCAGACACAAACATCAACACGGGGAGTATATAGCCCTCTGTCAGACACAAACATCAACACGGGGAGTATATAGCCCTCTGTCAGACACAAACATCAACACCAGGAGTATATAGCCCTCTGTCAGACACAAACATCAACACCAGGAGTATATAGCCCTCTGTCAGACACAAACATCAACACCAGGAGTATATAGCCCTCTGTCAGACACAAACATCAACACCAGGAGTATATAGCCCTCTGTCAGACACAAACATCAACACGGGAGTTTATAGCCCTCTGTCAGACACAAACATCAACACGGGGAGTATATAGCCCTCTGTCAGACACAAACATCAACCGAGGGGTATATAGCCCTCTGTCAGACACAAACATCAACACCAGGGTATATAGCCCTCTGTCAGACACAAACATCAACACCAGGGAGTATATAGCCCTCTGTCAGACACAAACATCAACACGGGTAGTTTATAGCCCTCTGTCAGACACAAATATCAACATCAATATGGCCCTCTGTCAGACACAAACATCAACACGAGGGGAGTATATAGCCCTCTGTCAGACACAAACATCAACACAAGTAGTTTATAGCCCTCTGTCAGACACAAACATCAACACCAAGTGGTTTATAGCCCTCTGTCAGAGACACAAACATCAAATCGGGGAGTATATAGCCCTCTGTCAGACACAAACATCAACACGAGGAGTATATAGCCCTCTGTCAGACACAAACATCAACACGAGTAGTTTATAGCCCTCTGTCAGACACAAACATCAACACGGGGAGTATATAGCCCTCTGTCAGACACAAACATCAACACAAGTAGTTTATAGCCATCTGTCAGACACAAACATCAACACAAGTAGTTTATAGCCCTCTGTTAGACACAAACATCAACACAAGTAGTTCATAGCCCTCTGTCAGACACAAACATCAACACGAGGAGTATATAGCCCTCTGTCAGACACAAACATCAACACAAGTAGTTTATAGCCCTCTGTCAGACACAAACATCAACACCAGGAGTATATAGCCCTCTGTCAGACACAAACATCAACACCAGGAGTATATAGCCCTCTGTCAGACACAAACATCAACACCAGGAGTATATAGCCCTCTGTCAGACACAAACATCAACACCAGGGAGTATATAGCCCTCTGTCAGACACAAACATCAACACCAGGAGTATATAGCCCTCTGTCAGACACAAACATCAACACGGGGAGTACTGTAAACGTACTTATTTTCGCGTGGTGCAATTTTCGCGGAATTGACAGTTTAGACTACATCGCGCGGTCAATTATTCGCGCAATCAGTAATTGCCGGAACTGCCAGCTGTCTCTTTGGCCGCCACTAATAGCAGTGAAAACAAACAGAGTGGCTTAACCTGTCAGGCGGCGTTTATTGCTTACTCACAGGAAATCCCTATCTGTGCGATATACTAGTACACAGTAATCCGTTTACTCCCGGTAGAGATGAAAAACACATCAGTCTTATGTTCGAATTCTGGCGATTTGTGAATTAACTTATACTGTATATGAAGCTCTTTGTGATTTCAAACAAGCCGGGTTGTTGTGAATGAGATGATTGAGTGTTAGTGACTATTAAACTTCATGATGTACTGGTGAATAAAATCTTAATGAATAAATAAAATACTGCTGTATTATTTCTTTCGAGTCGTTTCAGGTAATCTGTTTTGTATCAAACCATCTGTCATGTGACCAATTTCCATGGCGGCCACAACACACATTGCTGTTTTAAGCTAATTCGGCAATGGGATTTGGCTCATTATTTAATTATGTTTTGGGAAATCCATTACAGCGACAGTTAAGTATGATCAGTCGTCATTTTAAGATTCCCGTTGATTTCTGTCTTCAAACGTGATGTGTTATGGTAACAACTCAGGGGCGAGCGTGGCTAGACTGAATGAATGACAGGTTTATTAGCGGTGTATAAATTTTCGCGCTAAAATGTTTTCTTGCGAAAATAAAACCTGCGCGAAATATAATACGTTTACAGTATATAGCCCTCTGTCAGACACAAACATCAACACCAGGAGTATATAGCCCTCTGTCAGACACAAACATCAACACGGGGAGTATATAGCCCTCTGTCAGACACAAACATCAACACGGGGAGTATATAGCCCTCTGTCAGACACAAACATCAACACCAGGAGTATATAGCCCTCTGTCAGAAGCAGTTCGAAACGTTCACCAATGGATGTGAGTGAGTGAGTTTAGTTTTACACCACAATCAGCAGTATTCCAGCTATATGGCAGCGGCCTGTAAATAATCAAGTCTGGACCAGACAATCCAGTGATCAACAGCATGACCATTGTTCCACGCAAACTGGGATACGATGACATGTGTCAACCAAGTTAGCGAGTCTGACCACCCGATCCCGTTAGTCGGCACTTTTTACGACAAGGATGGGTTACTGGAGATCAATTCTAACCCGGATCTTGAGATTGGTCAGGATTAGTCCACCAATGGATGTGATGAAGCTATCACCAAATGACTGGTATATACTGATGCTGATATAGATGTACAGCTTTAATTTAAAACCATTGTTTACAAGCACAACCCACCTCTTGACCAACATAAACATTACTGAAGTTCCCATCGATGATTGCCTTGTCTGCAAGTGATTTGACAGGCTTCAGATGGGTGAAGTAAGCAGCATATGCCATGATGCCGAGGTGCTCAACCTCGGGGTCAGCCATCTCCTTTGCTGAGAGAATTGGTTCCACACCTAGTCGCCGCCCACAGTCAATACCTGCATTAAATAAAAAAAGAGTCAGTTTGTAGGACAGATGACACTGACAACAATGTGGTGAAATGACATGTTATGGGGTGAAATATACAATAAATATACAACAGCCAGATGGACACTGACAGTTATGGGGTTAAATATACAAGATATATACAACAGCCAATTGGACAATGACAGTTATGGGGTGAAATATACAATAAATATACAACAGCCAGATGGACACTGACAGTTATGGGGTTAAAAAAACAAGATATATACAACAGCCAATTGGACACTGACACTTATGGGGTGAAATAAACAAGAAATATACAACAGCCAATTGGACACTGACAGTTATGGGGTTAAATAAACAAGATATATACAACAGCCAATTGGACACTGACAGTTATGAGGTGAAATAAACAAGGAATATACAACAGCAAGATGGACACTGATAGTTATGGGGTGAAAGAAGAGTAAGTCAGAGGTTCACATTCTGCTCCAACTTCAGCTATCACTATCATGAAAGTTCCCAAACTCTCAGTACAAACATTGACATTTCCTTGTTGTTGACAGACCTGTTTTACTTCAGCAAGAAAAAAAGTGTTAATGTCATGACTGTCAACAACGTCTTGCATTCTGGTTTTTCTGATATCTATGTCCCAATACATTAATTATATGTATACATCATGAATATTTCATGTAAATACATATGCCTCAATGTGTGTCCATGAACATGCACGTATATTTTATGCATAGATACAAGTGTATACATGAACACATGCCATAGAACCTTTGCAAATAATCATGTACACATGAACATCGACTACATATTTTGTGCATGTAGCAAACATGAACACACACATATGTTGTGCATGTATACAAGAGCATACATGAACACACACATATTTTGTGCATGTATACAAGAGCATACATGAACACACACATATTTTGTGCATGTATACAAGAACACACACATATTTTGTGTGGACAGATATGTACACATGAACATAGACTGTATATTCTGTGTATATACACATATCCATGAACACACATTGTATATGTTATGACTGCTTTATAAGTATGATTTCACAATTTTAGAATGTGTCATGCAACCGTTGTAAAGTACAAGTGTATGTTTCAAAGCAAAGGGTCAGCCACAACACTCTACAGACATGACTATGATGTTAATTGCCCGTAACTGTCGCAGTAAGCCTGTCAGGATATTCCTGCAGCTGCCACATCTATCATGTTACCTGTCTGTATATTGTCCACGTGGTTGGGACTGATGGAACCAGGGTTCTGCCCAAGAGACTTCACCAAGTTGCACAGGTGGGTCCCATCATTCCAGCTACTCTGAAGACATCAAAACAGATGTACTTTATAATCAAACATTTAAAAACTTGAATCAAATTTTCTTGTCAATTGATTCAAAATATATTGTTTGGAATATGTGTGAGTGAGTTTTTAGTTTAATGCCACACACAGAATTATTACAGCTATATGGAGACGGTCTGTAATAATTGAGTCTGGACCAGACAATCCAGTGATCAACAGCATGAGCATCGATCTATGCAATTGCGATAGGATGACATGTGTCAACCAAGTCAACGAGCCTGACCATCCGATCCTGTTAATTGACTCTTACGATAAGCATGGATTACTGAAGATCAATTCTAACCCGGATCTTCAAAGGTGTTTGGAATATGAAGATGTTCACCATGATACCTGTGAGAATTACACCTGCTTTATCCCAACTACCAAGAAAATAACGACGTCAACACATCAGCTAACAACAACTGCAGAGTGTTGCAGCAACATCCCTGCACAGCAACATCCCTGCACAGCAATCACGAAACTGCTGCTTATGCCTCTACATGAAATATAAGTTTTCGTAACTAGTAAACGATTTTGAAGTTTTGGTGAAAACAGAGACATTCAACCCAACCGGTGAGTTGGGAAACAGAGACATTCAACCCAACCGGTGAGTTGGAAACGGTGAGTCTGAACATTAATGAGCTTAGTCCGTCAGTTTCAAGATATTTTGAAGAACTGTAGAGGAGAATCACCAATAGCCAAACAAGTACAATGGGATTGTGTCCTGTCAACCAATGAGATGTAACTCTAGAAGGTGGGTTTGGCCTGACACTGTTTGGAACAGTATTCCAGTGATGTTGGAGGAAAGTTTCCCAAGTGATGCAGATTTGGGCGGTTTACCATTTTGGTGGACTCCACAAGTACAGGCACAGTGCTGACAAACCAATAAACATTATCTATAAGTTAGGGTGGGTCCAGGATTTAAACCCACTATCACAGGATTCTTGGACATCTAAGGGACATAACTCTTCCTAGCCAAATGTTGCAACTTTGACAACAGTGCCTTCCATGACCCCTAATACCACTAGAGTGATTGACTGAGTTTTACACAGCTTTTAGCAATATTCTAGCAATATCACAACGGGGACAACAGAAATGGGCTTCACACAACGAATATGCCCATGTGGGGAATCAAACCTGGGTCTTCGGCATGACGAGAGAATGCTTTACCCACTAAGCTACCCCACCGCCCCAAATACCACTAGAGAACCAGCAAATAATCAATAATAAACAGATGCAAGTAGGCAAGAATGTCCAAAACAAAACTATTCTTTCCAGTCAAAGATGAATAGATCTAATGAGTTCCCATCAACTTACACTGAAATCATCGATTCTGCCTCCCTGGGTATTGATGGCATTGACGTTACGAAGCGTGGCGAGGTAGCCCGGAGAGTCGACGTTCATGAAGTAGGACAGATAGGTCATGCCTGACAGGTCGTCCAGGTGAGGTGATGCCAGGTCTTCAGGCCGGACAACCAATGGGATGTCAAACTTGTCCTGGGCAATCATCATGGCATTGCGACAGTTGTCTAGTCTGAAACATACATGTTAGGTTTAGATACACCATGGACACTGGGCCACAGGAACCCGGACAGAATAATGATTATAACTTTTACAAAGAAATGGATACAATGTGTTTAAAAAAAATGTTACAATGTATTGACAATAATGGTTACAATGTGTCTATAATAACGGTCGCAATGTGTTTACAATAAGGGTTGTATTGTGTATATCATAATGGTTACAATTTGTATAAAATAATGGTTAGAATGTGTTTATAACACTAGTTCCATTGTGTTCAAAATAACTGTTGTAATGTGTTTACTATAATGGTTGCCATGTGTTTACTATAATGGTTGCCATGTGTTTACTATAATGGTTGCCATGTGTTTACTATAATGGTTACCATGTGTTTACTATAATGGTTGCCATGTGTTTACTATAATGGTTGCCATGTGTTTACTATAATGGTTGTAATGTGTTTACTATAATGGTTACCATGTGTTTACTATAATGGTTGCTATGACTTTACTATAATGGTTGCCATGTGTTTACTATAATGGTTGCCATGTGTTTACTATAATGATTGTAATGTGTTAACTATAATGGTTGCCATGTTTTTACTATAATGGTTGCCATGTGTTTACTATAACGGTTGTAATGTGTTAAAATACTATAATGGTTGCAATGTTTTTACTATAATGGTTGCCATGTGTTTACTATAATGGTTGCCATGTGTTTACTATAATGGTTGCCATGTGTTTACTATAATGGTTGTACTGTGTTTACTATAATGGTTGCAATGTGTTTACTATAATGGTTGTAATGTGTTTACTATAATGGTTGCCATGTGTTTACTATAATGGTTGCAATGCGTTTACAATAATGGTTGCCATGTGTTTACTATAATGGTTGCCATGTGTTTACTATAATGGTTGCCATGTGTTTACTATAATGGTTTGTCCGGGTATGTGGTGAATGTTGACTATAATGGTTGTATTGTGTGTTACTATAATGGTTTTGTCATGTGTTTACAATAATGGCTGCAATGTTTTACTATAATGGTTACCATGTGTTTACTATAATGGTTGCCATGTGTTTACTATAATGGTTGCCATGTGTTTTGGTGAATATATCAATATGTTTGTCAGTATAATGGTTGTAATGTGTTTACTATAATGGTTGTCATGTGTTTATCACTATAATGGATGAATATTTGCCAGGTGTGTACAATAATGGCTGCAATGTGTTTACAATAATGGTTGCCATGTGTTTACTATAATGGTTGCCATGTGTTTACTATAATGGTTGTAATGTTTTTACTATAATGGTTGCCATGTTTTTACTATAATGGTTGCCATGTGTTTACTATAATGGTTGCCATGTGTTTACTTTAATGGTTGCCATGTGTTTACTATAATGGTTGTAATGTTTTTACTATAATGATTGCAATGTGTTTACTATAATGGTTGTAATGTGTTTACTATAATGGTTGCCATGTGTTAACTATAATGGTTGCCATGTGTGTACAATAATGGTTGCCATGTGTTTACTATAATGGCTGTATTGACAATAAATAGTTGCAAAACGCTGTATGTTTGTCAGGCGCTTACAATATTGCTTCAAGATTCTCTACTATAATAATTGCAATGCATGTACATAATCCTTAAAATGTGTTTCAATTATGATTGCAATGTCATTCAATACTGGTTGTAGTGTGTTTTTATAAGGGAAGCATCTTAAAATATCATAAGTATAAGTGCTTGTGTCCAAGTCAGCAGAAAGCAGACCACTATGATCACATTTCACCCACAGGCCTCTGTGGTGTGCTTTCACTGTCACCTATACACCCTTGGTTATTTCAATACATGTACATATCATGTATATTTCAATCACTCTACACAGTATTGAAGCATTCACACACCAGTCTGAAGCACCTAGCCTTATGACCTGCCACGTTGTCAATATACACCATACTCCCAGTCCACCTACAGCTACCACAGACAAACAGGGCGTATATTGCAAATACTGCTCAATTACACTGTGTCTTAACCCAAATCTCATTGGTAAACATTCGACACTGGAGCACAGCTTATTGCTTTGAGAAGGTGTTTTCTTATCAAACATTACCCAACTTTTGATCTGCTGTGTCTGGAAGTCAAAGTTAAATGAACAATATGAAATTCAAAATTGTGTTAAATTGATAACAACTGCCTCCAAGTATGTTTGTCCAGTCACCATATAAACAGAATTAAATTTGAAGAGTATGACAAGTTTAGGTATTTAAAGGTCTATAATCAGATAAAACATATCTATTTTCAAAACCTAGGAAATGAATTCCAAGATACACAGAATGTCACATAAAACATCAGTGTAAAAGAGCATCCAGTTAACCATCCTCAGATACACATTCCATTTGGTGTAAAGGACAAAATACATGTGAAAACTGCATATGGACCACTGGAAATCTGTGATGACACCAGGTGTTCGTGGGAAGGGTACGCACGTACTGCCCAACTGGTAGCACCCGCCATTCAAATAGTTTGCTTAGACAAGTGTCAAAATAGCTAAAAGACACCGTCAACATTGCAGTGACAGTCCTGTGTTTTCATGGCAACATTTCATATTTCCTGATCATATTCCTGAACTACATCATCAAACACATTGTTTTCTTAATAAGCCTAAATACATTACTTTGTAAGACGAGCGCTTTCATCATTCTTTTGGGGGGCATATTTGGAGGCTTTTATCATGTATGTTACAGATTTCTTAAAGAATGATTACCTCCAGTTTAAAAACAATCAACAACCATGTGAATATTTGAAAACAAAATATAAACACCTGAATCCCTGTTAACTGTTGTAAACTTGCATGTAGAGGTTGATATTTAGATCTCTCCTTGAAATCCCCACTAATTCTTTGCAATGGCCTACAACGTTTGCCGGGCTACACAACAAGCTCTCATGTTTGCTCTCAGTGTTGACATTTTCTTGGTATTCCTCGCCAGCTTGCATGCCCAATTTGGCAGCAAACAGGTGATTGAATAAGCCAACAGAAATCTCGTGTCATATTTGATCCACTCCAATCTGCCCAATGCTTAACAAGTTTGTTTTATTTTTGCGTTCGGACTACATGTTTTTAACACCACACGTTTCTTTGGTGTTCTTAACCTCCCTTCATTCTGTTGATAGGACGTCGCAACAGTGTCTTCTGGTGAGACATCGTGTCTTCTCATGTCACAGAACTGGGTTCAGTAGCTCACCTTGCAAACAGAACACTACAACAGTGTCTTCTGGTGAGACATCGTGTCTTCTCATGTCACAGAACTGGGTTCAGTAGCTCACCTTGCAAACAGAACACTACAACAGTGTCTTCTGGTGAGACATCGTGTCTTCTCATGTCACAGAACTGGGTTCAGTAGCTCACCTTGCAAACAGAACACTACAAAAGTGTCTTCTCATCGGTGAGAACTGGGTTCAGTAGCTCACCTTGTACAACAGTAATCTACAAAAGTGTCTTCTGGTGAGACATCGTGTCTTCTCATGTCACAGAACTGGGTTCAGTAGCTCACCTTGCAAACAGGACACTACAACAGTGTCTTCAGGTGAGACATTGTGACCAAATGAAAGTGTTCTCCCTGACGTTGTGGAAGTCGCCAAGACAGAATCAGTTAATAGTGTTTGGAACCTATGATCCCTGGCTTGGCCAAAATGGTGATATAATTAGAATGACATTTATTTTATTTTATCCTCAGCATCAATGTGTTTATAATTTTTAACCCAAATGCAAATGATAAAGTTCAATTCCCATTCTGAAGCATTTCCATTACATTTAGAAGTTAAATATGGATTGCTATTGGAGAAATACTCCAAGTGCTTGAAGTCAGTAAAACCTCTGTTCATACACTTCACCAAAACATTACAAAATACAACTACCCATGATGATCTATGTTAGAATTGGTCTTTTGCACCCACTGCTTGTCATAAGAGGTGACTAACGGGACCAGATGGTTGACTTGGTTGATGCATCTGATCATATCATAATACATAGATCAATGCTGATAATATCAATCACTGGATTGTCTGGTTAAGACTTGATTCTTTACATACCTCCATCATATAAAACTGAAGGACAAACAAAACCATACACACCTCCTTAATGCCATATCTAACACCAGTCCTACTCTCCCAAATTAAAAAAAACAAGGAACTTGTGTACAAATATTTCTGTGAGTTCAGAGCTATAATCAACAACCGATGGTGTTTTGTCCTAGTCGTAATGTTGCATGTGAAGTGAACACAGTATAATCACAATCAAAGAAATGTGGTCCACTTAAACAACTGCTGTATTGTCCTGTCAAGTGGCATTGTTCTCCCACAATACCTGGAGTAACTTAATCTGCTTCCATGCAGGTAACCTTAGTCTCCGTCACAATGCAACAAACATACGTAAACAAGGAGCTTATGTGTCACGGAGTATCTGACATCACGCTTTAACACTGAAGACATTCCCTCTTGACAAATGGCCATCATCAGAGAGAGTTTCATTACTTTAATGGGGAAATGAGACTATTTGCTATTCAGGGATGGAGCTTGGAATTTAAATTTCAGTTGATCCAGAGCAATTCCCCGGGACTGTTTGTTGCTTTTGTTATTGTATTCCGCCTTTAGTATCCAGATGATATCCCAGAATTCTTGACTGGGTTGAGATTTATGCGCAATTGGTAGTATAAATATGATATGCTTTTCCTGAAATTGATCAACAAAAATCTTTTTTACTCTTTGATATTTCCATCTTCATTATTATAACAAATGAAACCATTTTCAAGTTTAACTTCATCTGCCAGTGGTAAAACATGTTAGGACTGAAAAATACTGAAGTCACTGTACGTCTTTATATTCTTGTCTTATAATCCTAATTATATTTTTATGCATTTCGGAACTTAAAAAAAGTACAAGATCTGTTTTTAGTGAATTTATGACAAGATTGTAATATCTAGACGTTTCACACACACACCCTAAGTGCAATTGTCTGTCTCATTGAACTTCACTGAGAAAAAAAGAATGAACTGGAATGATTCTGTTGGATGCAACAACAAATGAATAAAAACCAAATACAAATTTTTAAATTAAAACAGAGTAAAGTTATAGCAACAACGTCAGGCTATTACCATGTTTTAGGAATGTACCCATCAATATCCACATAAAGGAACGATATTCATTCCTGTGCAGCTGACACAGAAACCTGTTCCATGTCGGTTAGATCCCATACTGCCTACAGTTCCAAACTGCCTACATCCCAAACTGCCAACAAAAATCTTGTAGGCACCGTGGGAAAAGATTTTTGCCCTGTAGAATAATGGAACAGCCCAATTATCAATGAAGAAGGGGTGCTTCGTTTGGAGTAAGGGATAATTAGGGGGATTATATTAGTATATATCTGTCCATCTACTTCTGTGTATAGTATGTTTTGAGTCTTCTCATCCAATAAAGACTACAAGACAAGTACAATGATATTGTTTAATTTAGTTTTCGGAAGCAGTTAACATGCTTATATTGTAATCTCCAAAGCAGGATTAACTTAATCCTATTTGATTAAGTTGGGTAGGCTTGTTTTAACTATGTTGTTACAGGCTTTTTCTGTCTTTGTCAGATTATGATGAAAAACATGGTAAGGACTAAATTGTTGAGAAGATCTAATCTTCTCAGTTAATTAAACTCCTAATAAATTAGAAGGGGAACCAACTGCATCCATCACATAATGACAAATGTTCAGTAAAACCACTGAAAGACTGTAAAACTTATCAGTTTTTCATGATAAATCCATGTCACCATGTAAAGACTGAGAATTCTCAGAATGAATAAAGATGTCCTACCAACCAACACTTGTAATTTTTTTAAACTTCTGTAGGCAGAGTGGGAAGACACCATAGAATAGGTCAGTTCATTAACCAGCGAACTAGTCAAGTTCATTTTAGCAGGGTAGAACAGGTCAGAGCAGTGTATTCACTTCCTGATCACTGGACCATATCATTTTGTTTTAACCTGTAGGCAGTTTGGAACTGTAGGCAGTATGGGAATACACCTTCGTGTCATGTGTCTTTTAACAGTCTAATATGCAAAAATATACGAAAAAATGTACAAATCGTTTTAACTAGCAATGAACAGGAATGGGGTTTTATGGATAGACAACTTCTATAGTGCAATCGATGTGATGTTTGGGTGTAGATGCTAACAGATGGCACTTTACGACAGGGTGTATTCAGTTTATGACGCTAATAAATCTACATACATCAACACTACCTTTAGACAAACTTGCTGTGCAAGATAAAAGTAATTAATCAATCAGCATGTTATCGGTTAATCCTTTGACCAGTTGAGAAAGTATCACGAGTTATTACTTCTTTGAGTGGCATTTAGAAACTGGTATGATAAACAGGATAGATTTTTATGGATAGACAACTTCTTTATTGCGATCTATGCGACTCTTCGGTGTAGATGCTGACTTGTCATAAATTCACTAAACAGATCGTGTACTTTTTATAAAGTTCCGAAATGCATAAAAATATAATAATAAATTAATTAATTAGGATTATAAGACAAAAATATAAAGACGTGAATTGATTTCGATTTTTTTCAGTCATAACATATTTCACCACTGGCAGATGAAGTTAAACTTGAAAATGGTTTCATTTGTTATCATAATAATGAAGATGGAAATATTAATAAGTAAAAAACATTCAACTTTGTTGATCTGTGGAGGGTGGTGCAGCAGAGATCGCAACCCGGTTAAGAATTCTGTCCATCTACAAAGATTTTTCCCTTGCCAGGATGATGAATGCTCAGTCACAACCACATTAGAGCTAGTCGTAATGAATCATCACGCCTTCTGAGATGCAATGCTTTGAGAAGTCTCGGAATGTGACTGTGTTAGCTAAGAGGGACCTGACAGTGTTTCATGAGGGCAGGTTTGAAGTATTTGCCTGTGACAGATGATAGTACTGAACAACAGTTCAGTAATACAACCCACATTTGACTCACGGTGGGTTTATGTACCGAACACCCTCACACATTGCACACATAACATACACACAGACATTTCTCATATTTTCTCTCTCTCACACACACACACACACACAATCATCATCGTCATCATCATTATACTCATACACAAACATTGTGTGAGCAAACACACACACATAAATATCATACTCTCACACAAACCTAGCAAACTCACACATACATATACTCTCTCACACATATACTCACACACACATAGCATACTCTCACACACACATATAATATGACACACATTCATAGCATACTCACATATATACATAGCATACTCTAATACACATACATACAATGCATGAAGATCTGGGTTGGACTTGGTCTTCAGCAACCCAAGCTTGTTGTAAGAGACAACAAACAGTATGGTGCTGTCAGGCTCACTGACTTGGTTGATTACAGACCACTGCCATTTAGCTGGAATATTGATGAGCACAGCAATAAACAAAGAAAAACATACCATACCCTCACAATTACAAGTCACTGATATACCCTCTCACTGATATCTCATCATAACCATTACACATACTCTCACATATATCACACCACCACATATATATCACTCTCACATATATCACACCACCACATATATATCACTCTCACATATATCACACCACCACATATATATCACTCTCACATATATCACACCACCACATATATATCACTCTCACATATATCACACCACCACATATATATCAACATATATCACATCACCACATATATCACTCACACCCACCACAAATATATCACTCTCACATATATCACACCACCACATATATATCACTCTCACATATATCACACCACCACATATATATCACTCTCACATATACAGAGGTACAGATAAGCTGCGTATCTGCGTAAATTACGCAAATATTTATGTGAAAACTCAATTCCTATTAAGTCTATTGCGTACAAGTACGCTTGAATTGTTGTAAATACTCAATAAATGTGATCTTACACGCGTACACACAAAAATGTCAAATCTTAATATGCGTACCGGTGGATAGATATTATAACTGAGGTATACTGAGAGGTTCTATTTCAGGATATGAACTTGACAACTTGCAGTTTTTCTTATTGCTTCTCATATTACAGATCAAATATAAATAAAAAACACTCAAATTTAAAACTTTATTATATCTTTAAATTATTGGAAAATGGCAAAATACCCAATTGAGTTTGAGTGAGATGAGTACAATGTATTTGGTTACTCAAAGGAAAATTAGGATACCCAATTGAGATGAACACAAGCGAGTACATAACTCAATGACCCAAAAAGTTATCTGTAGCTCTGCATATATCACACCACCACATATATATCACTCTCACATATATCACACCACCACAAATATATCACTCTCACATATATCACACCACCACAAATATATCACTCTCACATATATCACACCACCACATATATATAACTGACCAGCAATAAAAACGCAACTCAGAATTCATGAAAATTATACTTTTTCAGCTTGATTTGATACTTTAACACAATTGTTTTGATTTCTTGAATTGCGTTTCTTTTTGCTGGTCAGTATATATCATACACTCTCATATTTCCAACCATATTTCCACAGATATATCATAATATCACACACATGTATTACACAAGGGGATATATGTATATGTTATTTTCTTCACAAGATAACAGTACACAACAGAAAGTTTGCATAACCCATATCACACAATGGACACTAAAACAGATCAGTGGGTGTTAGCATTCAATGTGCATTCTGAGATTCATTCTCAATGGTAACCAGCTTTGTCACGCTGTGTAAGCCTCACTGTGTCGCGTAAAAGCCGGAGTGTAAGTACCTGTAACGTTACGATGTAACATTCCAGTCCCTTGCAGGGACGTTACTTCACGCAACAAGTGCCCTGACCTGGCATGGAATTCCTTCAAGCAAACGTAGCTGTTGTTATGGACAGTACTATTTCACGAGAATCAAGCCTAGCCTCTCTACACTGAAAGACATTCCAATACAACCCAAACATAAATCTACATTTCGACAGTCCCTATATTCAGTCGCTCATGTCTACTTCAGCATGGAGGGGCAGTATTGAATCTGAGAGACCACAACCCTATTTCTATTGTTCAGTCTCACAGCTACTACTTTCTGTTTTAACTTCACATGACGTTTTTGTCCGTTTCAGATTCCACTGGCATAAGGAAGTCAGCCTTCACACCTCCAATACAACTTTCTTTGTAAACACCATTTTATTTGGATTTCATTATTTCAGAAATATAATTCGAAAGTAAAGTATAATTGAGCATTCATCCCTCCTGAATTAAGATACCTGACTAGGTGTAACATATGGTATGTGCATTGTTTTAAATGAGCTAAATGTGGATATATTAGCTATAGAACATCCATAACATCACAATTACCGCTTGGTAATTTACGATGCTAATCAAATCCACAATTGTACATTGCAGGACAATACACGGGTATTCCCTGCTGTATCAGTGTAAGGATGATTGATGCATGCACACAGATGATTATCCAATACAGCGCCATATAGCTGTAATATGTGACAATCACTGTGATTGACGAGTGTTGTCAGTTTCACTGCTTCATCAATAATCAATTGTGGCCAGCTGACACGGAAAGTGTGAATAAAGGTGAGACAAGAGAAAGCTATTACATGTGCACAATAAAATCTATACTAAGTCTGTGTCCACACAAAAAATATCGTACAAATATGTAGATTGCGTAGTATTTATCTGACAGACTGAGGTGCTGTCGATTGCACATTTTTGTTACAATTCAGTTTCAGGGCACTTGCGATCAGCTGATGCTGAAGGCCACTTTACATGATATTCTCTACTTCGAGGGTGGTATTAAGTATTTGATGTCAGACACTTCAAGGGGAAACAACAGCATTACATCATAACATGTCAAATTGAACAAATTATCAATGGCTGCCCAATGGCTGTTTTTCAAATTTGGGATGGGGCAAAACACAGATAACACAGACTCAGCTTGTAGCATAAATACTAACAATTATTTTACAACTTAAATCTTAACTTACATGTTATTGCTACAATTAATTAATAGATCAAGATTATAATGACAATAACCAATCTAAACCTTATCTGTACCTTCTACAAAGATAAATGTGAAATTTATATACTGTTATGTGAAAATGACTAACAAATCTAACTTTTCTGATGATACACCTGTGTTCATTACCTCAGCATGATCAACATTGATTATCAGTGAGTTGGCACATAGTTGTGAAGTGCACATTCCATGGTATACGGCAGAGTTTTATGCGATGCGTAAATGTGGAGAATGGACAGGGACAAGAACTTCACTGCGTCCAGAGGGACGCACAATATAATGCATTGTACCCACAACACATATATGACTTTGCTATGTGTTTGGTTGTTTCTTTCAGAACAGTTGCATGCAGCATTTCATCCACCAGTCCACATGATCAAAGAATGATTCCATATTATCAAAACATACAGTTCTCTAAAATGTTACTTCACAGGACCCTTAAAACTAATAATTGGGGGACCCCGGGACACCCGTGTTTGTGAGTTGAGGTAAAACCGTGTATACAGTATATTAGGTAAGCAACAGTATTACTCCACCTTCAACCCTACCCCATCCTGACCCCCTACACACACATGCACACCCACCACTGAGAAGTATTAATGACAGTAAACTAACGTTATAATAGTTCAGGGCGAAAGTGTGCTTTATTACACTATACATGGTGGTATAGCAAACTGTATTTCTTTTCTAAGATGCCAAATTTAATACTTTCTTAGGATAATTACGATTAATCTAACTTCTAAGGCAGAAAACGAACGACAGTGTCTGTGACTTAAATTAAAAATTCGTCGCACAGGGCTAACTGACGCGCTGTTCTATTGACGTGTCTGCCCCCTACGTTAAGACGAACGTTACCAGAAAAAGAAATGACAATACAGTTTGATGACGATTTACGTTCGGGTTAAATATCTTCTCTAAATTATTTTAATTACGTCTGTGATTAATGTAAACCATATGGGTATATATGAACGTAGCATTTCAAGTTTTAGTTTAAGCCTAGATCAGTACATCCAGATGAAGCTGACTGGTCAAGCGACATTCCATGATTGCATTTTCGGAAAGTGAACATTGCGAACGTTACCGTGTCGCTGTAAATTTGTGAGTCGAACTGAGACATTCTATCCGTTGGAAAACATAAACGTAATGTTTCCACCAGTGAGGTTAGCTGAGTGAAGCAACTGCAAACCCCAAAACTGGATGCAACGGAGTAGTTTACTTACGAGGCTGTATGAGGCCATGACAACTGGCATGCATCGTGACGTCGCTTACATTGTGACGTAATGTAAAAGTGTTCGATTACGAGGGGGCAGACTAGAATGGCGCAGTGACGCCAATACATTGTGGTGATGTAATGCAAAAAGTGTACAGTATCATCTGATAAAGTACTGTCGGCTCCTTTGATCTTTCACCGAAGCATGTTAGAATACACATTATATTTAAGCTGATTTCTTCCTGTAAGGTGACTTAGGACAGAGGATAAAACACAGTTCTAATCTGGCTGTATGTAGGAAATATACAATATGTTGACAGTTTGTCAGTCAGTGCTGACAATACAACACACAACTTTGTCTATCTTTGTACTATTTTCAGTGATACCGTTCAATCTACATAACCCCGGGAAGGGATGGGTGTAATAAAGAAGACTTGGCAACATGTCCTAAATACATATTTAGTATTAATCTTGATTTCAATCTATTAATCTAAACCTAGATGGACTTTGCAGACAACAAGAATCAGATGTGATGTAAGAGTTAAATAACTTCAAATTATTTACTGGTATATTATATACTGAGGGGAAAAAATAAGGGATCACATGAAAGCATAAGTGTTCCTTTATTTTTTTCCAGGTTTCTTCACAAGCGTTGTATTGCATAACTTGTGAAGAAACCTGGAAACAAATAAAGAAACACTTGTGCTTTCATGTGATACCTTATTTTTTTCCCTCAGTATATATATGGAGTAACTAACACTGGGTAAGGTATTTGGACATCTGGGTATCTGGGCATTCAGGATAATCAGTAGTCCAGGTATGGCATTATGTGGAACATGCCATCACATCCTGATGACACAAGTCATTGCCATGGTGATGGTTTCTACACATAACAGGGACTGAACAAGAGTCTTGTGCCTGTAGAGGCAAATGTGTCAACCACTAGACTCCTCCCCAGTCTTACACTGTATCTTTACAAGGGCTTTAGCTGCCCACTTCGGACACTTTGGGTGCATTTTCAAATCATGAGAATGTCATTTCACCATAATCTGGATATTTATGAGCCAATGTAATTTAGACATTTTGACCCCTTCAATTTTATGTAGAATGATAATCCCAATTTCAGTTTTTAACTCCAGGCTACACTTTGTGAATCGTTCTGTGCTTTAAGCATATTGATTTACAATTTAGTTTGATTGTGTAACAGTATATTTGCTGGCATGTAACATAAACATTATTCTTTAAAAAAAATACAAAAATGATTAAAGTATGTCACATAGGCAGAGTGATCATATTTCCACAGAGTCACTGAGATTTAACCATGCCACTGTCACACACAAGAAGTTCCCATATTGAAAGCATCACCGTGACTCTGAAGCTGGGCCATTAGAGACTGGGGAGAATCCCCTCTTGCTGACTCTCTAGGATTAATGTCTACAACCGATGGTCCGTAGCATGTACCTTGCCACACAGTTGTAACTGAAGGATGCATATTTCCAGACAGCAGCTCAGGATACCAGCTGTTGTTAATTACGTACATATCAATAATGTATACAATCAATGAAGGATCAGATGAAGAAGGGTTTACCTGTTCTGTCTACTGAGCTGACGCCAATCTGGACACAGGCCAGGTTGGCAGTAGTCAATGACGGCGCTGAAATAAACAATCAAAGACATCTAAACATACATTTCACATATTGTCACTTTCACAAAAAAAGTACTTTACTGAAGCTGGTTTTATAGTGCTAGCCCACTGAGATACCATGCCGCAGTGAAGCATGAATACCCCACTCAGACACATTATACTGACTCCAAGCCGACCAGTCCTTGTTGTACCCATTAATGCTGAGCGCCAGGCAGGGACCAACAAGTACCATATTTTAACGGCTTTTGGTATGACGCGGTCGGGGATCGAACCCGCGACCTTCCGTTCTCCGGGCGGACGCTCTAACCACTGACGGAGGCGGTCAGTACTTGATTATTATATATGAAAATGATTGAATGTTGTAGTAAGCACTACTCCAGCAGCACACATATCATAGCCACTTTGGTAACACACAAACAGAGCATGATGACACACAAACACAGCATGGTGACACACAAACAGACCATGATGACACACAAACAGACCATGATGACAAACAGAGCATGATGATATACACAAACAGAGCACGGTGACACACAAACAGAGCACGATGACACACAAACAGAGCACGGTGACACACAAACAGAGCATGGTGACACACAAACAGAGCATGGTGACACACAAACAGAGCATTATGACACAAACAGAGCATGATGATATACACAAACAGAGCACGGTGACACACAAACAGAGCACGATGACACAAACAGAGCATGATGATATACACAAACAGAGCACGGTGACACACAAACAGAGCATGATGATATACACAAACAGAGCATGGTGACACACAAACAGAGCATGATGACACAAACAGAGCATGATGATATACACAAACAGAGCATGATGATATACACAAACAGAGCACGATGACACACAAACAGAGCATGGTGACACACAAACAGAGCATGACACACAAACAGAGCATGATGACACACAAACAGAGCATGGTGACACACAAACAGAGCATGATGACACACAAACAGAGCATGGTGACACTCAAACAGCATGATGACACACAAACAGAGCATGATGACACACAAACAGAGCATGATGACACAGAACAGGATGACACACAAACAGAGCATAGAGACACACAAACTATGTCATGTCTGCAGTAACTTACAAAGTCACCAGATGCGTGCTACAAAGCCACCCCGACCTCCTTGACGCCCTACTGGAACCCAGCAGATCTGATCTCCTACTTCCCAGCACGTAGGATCATATCAATGGATCAGAAGATATATTTTGACGATGCCCACTATGCCTAGCCATAGCACAAAACTAAACATGTCTTTTATGCTTTAAAGCATCCAATATTTATAAATTAATCTGAATCTTTTTCTCTGCCATAAACAATCAATTGAAAACAGTCATAACTGAATGACAGATGAGTTCTTGTGCAAAAAACACAGATCTGAAGATCTGTCCTAGGCAGTAAAGGATTGCAAGCTATGCACTGGAAGGCTCATTGTTAACATGGTATTATCACAGTGTTGTGATCACCAGCTACACCCTGCAGTGTATGGGTCGTCAGGCTATCCCAGTGCACATACACACAACCCACGAATAATCACACAGGAATGATAATATTGATATACAGCTTAGGCACTCATGCCCTATACATTATCATGTAATTTGGGGCTTAAAGTGCAGGATTAGCTTTTAACCGCATTTTTTTATCTGTACAGATTTTATTTTTTTGTACAGGAAAACATAGCCCAAAATAAACAATCCAGTTTGCTCTTGCCAGATTGTATGTGTTTTTGTTTAAGGAAATATGTTATAGACACCCTATATATACAACTCCGTGAAGTTGAGGATTCAAATATTTCCTATCACTATAATTAATCTTGCATGACAAGATGAACATGTCACATGACAAAATGGGTTGTCCTTAACCTATTTGTGATTGGTATTATATAAAACAAGGTTATCTATGAAATGTTGATGGTTCTGCCAAAAAAATACAAACAAAAGTAAACCATACTTGAAGCTGATCTTGAATCTGCATGTTAAGAATGACGTTTGCTTCGTCAGAACTACATGTCATACGATGTGTGTTGACAACCAAAGGCCTTCACACTCCATACAGAGGGAACCCATGAAGATCCGGGTCTGAATCAGTGTGCGAAATAGGCACTGGCCTGACTGACTAGTGCATTTTCATGGGGACATTGGTTTTTTATGGTAATTTACCTTTTTGTAAACATTTGCTTTGTTGTTGTTTTTCATTCAAATTTCGGGCTAGTGAATGATTTTGTGGGCTAGTAACTTTCTAGCATAGCTAGCCCGACTGGCTAGCAAAATTTGGAAACTATTTCGCACACTGGTCTGAATTGATCTTCAGTAACCCGTTCGGGATTTGGTGGTCCTGCCTCGCTGACTTGGTTGACACATGTCATCGTATCCCAATTACATAGATCGATGCTCATGCTGTTGATCACTGGATTGTCTGGTCCAGACTCAATTATTTACAGACTGCCACCACACACCTGGAATGTTGCTGGCATAGAACTAAACTAACTCACTCACTCACTCACTAACCATACAGAGGGAAGCAAACGAACATCCCTGGTGAACCAAGCCATCACTTCATCTGCTGTGCTACCAATTACAGTACCTTCCAGAAGCATGAGTTACATACACATCTGAGAACAACTTACTGTAGGTTGACGCCATCATTCCAGTCTGATGTGAAGTTTGTGATTTGGCAGTCTGGAACTACTGCCTTCAGCCATGCCAACATCAACTTCTTCGGTGGGAACTTGGTTTTACCGATCTGGTATCGGAGAATCAGGTGCCATATGAGGCCAAGAATCAACTTGAGGCTGCCATTCACGATGTCTTCACTTCCTGTAAATGGAATTATGGGATACTGAGATGCAGAGTTAACGAAATATAGATTACCACCAACATTTAAGATATGTGTGCTCAGAAATAATATCATGTAGCCTAAATTAGGACTGTACTAATTGGCCAAAGTATTGATGCTGTTTGGAGTACTGAAGCTAGATACTCTAGAAACTCCATCTCTTGTATCTCTGATGAAGAACTAGATGTCTCTGGGGCAGGAGCTGAAGATCAACAACCAATCCAAGCAAGAGTCATCAGAAGATGACATATCCCCCCGGCCCCCACATATTTGAAAGAACAATCAAGACAGTTACTTAAAGTCCAACTTGATATTTTTTTTTAGACTAAGTCCAAATCGTTTCCATGAAAATCATGAAAAATATAAATGCCAAAAATCTGTAAATAGCAAAAGGCACCCCTTTGGCATCTGCCTCATGTATCTGCCAAGTTTTGCTGAAAGATATTGAAAGGTTTCCGGAAACGAAGCCCACTCCTCCCTTTAGAGGACTAAGTCAGAATCATTTCCATGGAAACCGAGAAAAATATAAATGACAAAAATCTGTAAAAGGCAAAAGGCACCACTTTAGGTTTGATATATATACCAATTTTTGTTGAAAAATACTGAACGGTTTTTGAGTTATGCTCCGGAAACAAAATGATTACGGACAGACAGGCTGACAAGGCGTCCACTATATCCCCCTGCATTACATGCGTAATAACATTCTGCAAAGATGAATAAGAGGAAGAACTGTTTGTAAGTTCATTTCCAGTCAGTGGCTATTTATTTTTACAGTATATGCATATAAATATAATCTAGAAATAACACAAAAAGTATCTTGTCAAATATACTCAACGCTGTATGACAGTCATAATTGTAACAGCTGCTACTGTGCGCCAATGTGTGTCATCTTCTAGCCAAATGTGTGTCAACTTGTGGCCCAATGTGTGTCAACTTGTAGCCAAATGTGTGTAAACTTGTAGCCAAATGTGTGTCAACTTGAAACCAAATGTGTGTCAACTTGTAGCCAAATGTGTCAACTTGAAGCCAAATGTGTGTCAACTTGTAGCTAAATGTGTGTCAACTTGAAGCCAAATGCAGCCAATTACCCATAGACACTTCGATAAGACCATAATGATCAGAAAAAACACTGTCATTATGGGAAACAGGAAATTAAATATCTCTCTGTAACGAGGGAAATCAGCCATTATGAGATTGATTTGAAGTTGGCATCTTGTTGGCGTGACTTGATAATAACCTATTTATAGTGTTTGTGTTCTTGGTACTAACTGAGTAAATATTGTCTATGAATCGTTAGCAGCTGGTTATGGGGTATTTGAAAAGTAAAAACATTCTACACACCATAGCAACGGTACCATTATTCCAGAATGAATCTACTTTCAATAATTATCGTGTGGTGTCAAAATTGAGAGTTGACCTGTTAAACATGTTGAGTGAGTGAAGGAGTTTAGTTTTACGCCACTTTAAGGAATATTCCAGCAATATCATGGCAGGGTCAGCAGAAATGGGCTTCACATAGTGTACCCATGTATGGAATCGAACCCGGGTCTTCGACGTGAGGAGCGAACGCTTTAGCCACTAGGCTATCCCCGTAAAACATGTTGAAGCTGATGAGCAATTTAACAAGTTTAAATTTCATATATTAAATTCATAACCACTTAATCATATTAAAAAGGTAGTTAATAGATTCTATGCATGTATGCAAATACAAATAGTTTGAGTAAAAGGTTTTGGACAAATTATTTTTAAGAACATTTTGACTTTTTTTTTTTAATTCCCATTATCGGCTTGAGTTGATCTTTAACAAAAAATGGTAATCATCTACATCAACACCACCATCATCAACTATCATGATGATTCAGTGTGATAAAGAAAAATCATAAAATGTAACCATAGTGTCTTGTTAACATTAATGTTATTAACTATATCAGACTATAAGGGAGGGGAGGGGAGGGCTGTTTACTTTGAACAGAATTTTTTATATATTTATTTATTTTTATTATTTATTTTTATTTATTTATTTTTTTATTATTATTATTATTATTTTTTTTTTTTTATTATTAAAAAAAAAAAAAAAATTGGTGTTGTTGTTTGGTTATTGCCATTGCACATGCTTCTAAAAAAAAGTAATCATGCCTCATACCTTGCCTCCCTTATAATAAAGATGACGTGAAACTGGCAAGTTCATTTGCAGATTTGCCAACTTATGATGCTAGAGTAAAGGTCAGCGTACCGAAATTCTCTACATCCTGTACACCTGGGATAAGTATATCAGGTTTTAGCCACATCAGCATTATTCCACGGTTGTGCTGCGTCATGCCATGCATGACGGTCATGCTGGAGTAAGTCAGTGGCTGGGGTAGTGGATCAGTGTCAGCACTCACGTCAATGTGTAACACATGAGTCAGCAATATTCTGGGGTTGCTGGGGAAGAAAGGGTGCGGGGTGCCATCAACATCAGCCTGGGTGTGTTTTGTTTCCTTCCTTACTTAAGTAGCACTTATTCGAACCTCTCCCTGCCCCCAAAAACCCTCCCCAGCTCCTCTCTCCCATCTCCCCCTCCCATAATACACATGCATCATTAATATTAATGAGAGAAGACTTAGGTGAAAAGACAGCTCCAACACCCTTCACACAGACGTGAAAACAGCCTGTCACCAACAATGAAGCAATGACACGGTTGTAGATAGCCACTGGGAATTGGCCACTGACCCATGTAAAAACACATGACCCCATTCAGGTGAACATTTACCCCTAGGCAAGTTCTTGAAGTAAGCCCTTGCTTTGACGAATAATGGGCTATTTAACCTATTTCCATTCAAGCTAATCTGTAATAAACTGTTACATCTTGATCAGATAGGATAAGTGTCTTTGAGTCTGTGTCCTGACAACTGAAGCTCTGTAATAATTGGTACATGTTGACCAGACAAAGCAGTTCTTAGATTAACCCCATCACAGACAGACAGACAGATATTTTATTGAAGTCTCACCTATTGTAAAAGTACAGATATATACACATAATATACATAGAATGAGCCACCCTGTAAAGGTTATGAGAGACTATATTTAAGGTAAATTACACAAAAGTGACATATATGATAAAAGTAACCACATAAAATTAGCCATATAAAGATATTTTCTTTTTGGAAGTATATAAAAGCAAGTTTTGGATGTTAAATAAACCTGTTCTTTAAAAGTAAAACCATTTTTTCATTATCACATAAATCTAGGAAGTTGGGATAGCTGAGACTAACACGGGCATATATACTTTCACACAAATCATCGTACAGCGGACATTCCTACAGCACATGACAATCATCCTCAATCTTATGATTGCATTGGAAACACACCCTTTCATTTACATTCATATTTGAATGTCTTCCATGTCCTGACAACTGAGGCACTGTAATAAACTGTTAACTGTTACATCATCATCTACATCAGACAGGGCAGTTGCAGATCAGCCCCTGTCCCCCGACCTGACCAACTGAAGTACTGTAACGAGGATCTGACTGTAGTTAGACACACTGAACACCTGACACACAGCAAACCAAGTACTGCACAAGTGGCGGAATAATCCACAGAAGTCTGAGGAATATCGAGAGTACAGATGGCATTATACACTCAGTTCTACAGATGATGTGAGGTGAGGTGAAATTGGGTTTAACGTCGTGCTTGAGAATATTTAGCTCATATGACGACATGCATGCGTGTGTATGTGTATGTGCGGCTGCTTGTACTAGCCCAGACTTAAGCTGGTTTTATAGTGCTAGCCCACTGAGATACCACACCGCAGTGAAGCATGAGTACCCCACTCAAACACATTATACTGACTCCGAGCCGACCAGTCCTTGTTGTTCCCATTAATACCGAGTGCCAGGCAGGGACACAGATGACGTGAAATGTAACCATTTCACCAAGGAACTGTAGAACGCCAAATTTACAACCATCACTGCTCTGATACTGCTATATGGAGAGCACCCAAAGTCCAGGGAGATACTGATCACATCCATCAACTTCTGTAGGGGATCAAAATATCATAAATCCAGGCCATTTTATTAAGGAAGCATTCTCTAAGAGCATGTCAATCATATCTATGTTGTAAACACCTTTTATCAGCAACAGAGACATTTGGATGCATGATCCATAGCACTGTTTCCTTTCTATCTGTGATCCTTTTCAACTTTAGTCATCTGTCCTGTCAAATTTATGTCTTTTTCCAAAATTCATAAAACAATGACAGCAGTTCTACAACAGAATTATTTTTCAATACTTGCACAATTGACTTAAATCCCAATAAAACAAGTATTAGAAACAAAGATAAACAAAGTAAGCTTATCCAAAATGGCCGAACACACTTAGAGATGACAGAACTTATGGATGATCAACTTGTTTATTTTAACCATGTAAAATCTTATGAAGTTGATCATCCATAACGTTTTGTCATCCCTATACCACCAACTTCTAGAATGCCACTCAAACAAATTAAACACACTTAGTGTGAGCAACAGTTGTTCTCAAATACTCATCTGGCATTCATTCATACCCAACACTTGTCACTGTGACCACACATTCCAACTGCCAGTGTCAACACTGACAGTCTGGTGAGACTCACTGACCATCAGATGGACACAGTGTGAGCAACAGTTGTTCTCAAATACTCATCTGGCATTCATCCACAATCAAACAAAGATGATCTAGCAGAAATTCTGCATAAACTGCAACCTGTGATGATAGTTTGAAGTAGAAGAAGAAGATGCTCAACTTCTCTGCCACCTGAAATTTTTGGGATAATGATGGGGTGGGGGCACTACATATTTCTATATAAGTACTACATTCATTGTACTGTACTGCTTGTTGTTTATATCAGTACTACATGTTGTTTATTTTAGTACAACATGTTGTTTTTGAAAGCACTCTGTTTGGGACAAGATGCTTCCTGCTTCACATGCAGCATATTGAGATCTCTGAGAATGTTAAA